CAGCAGCCCAGTGTGAGCCTCCTTTAGCACTGTGCGAGAAAAAGACGAGCAGTCCACACAGATTCATTTCACACAAGCAAGGTGCCATGGTTTATTTAGGGCGGGGTTAAATAAGGTCCGGCCGTGACGTCATCAATCAATAAACAAATAATGCATTCAGAGCATAACAGAAAATACAATACAATTAACATTTAGGACAACATTGGATCATTCAAAGATCCTCACTGAACTTCTGGAGTGAGTTTGCTGCACTGAAAGTAAAGGAGCCGAATAATATTGCACGCCCCACTTTTCAGTTTTTTATTTGTTAAAAAAGTTTAAATTATCCAATAAATTTCGTTCCACTTCACGATTGTGTCCCACTTGTTGTTGATTCATGACAACAAAATAAAATTTTATATCTTTATGTTTGGAGCCTGAAATGTGGCAAAATGTTGAAAGGTTCAAGGGGGCCGAATACTTTCGCAAGGCACTGTACGTTTGGAAGTAAGATCTAATGGCATTTGAACAGGGGGGTTTGTTAATCTATTAACTGTTGAGAACAGAACACACAGATTGTTGCTGCAGCCTTCAATCATTTCAGAAAAATACCTTTCTCTCGTACTACGTAGCACCCGGTTAAACTCGCACAACTTATCTTTGAAGATCTCGTAACCAACCAGGAGGTTGGACTTGCGCCACTTCCGCTCGGCCCTCTGGCACTTTCTCTTTTGTGCCCTGACCGAGTCTGCTTTAGCCCACGGCGCCTTCTGCTTATTTTTCACTATTTTAATCTTCACAGGGGCAACGGTATCCAGAACATTCAAAACACTAGAGGTGACAGAGTTAAACAGTTCATCTACAGTAGAATACGATGCATTCTCAAAGTTTATCATTCCCATAAATACAGTGCCTTGCAAAAGTATTCGGCCCCCTTGAACCTTTCAACATTTCGCCACATTTCAGGCTTCAAACATTAAGATATAAAAATTACATTTTTTGTCAAGAATCAACAACAAGTGGGACACAATCGTGAAGTGGAACAAAATTAATTGGATAATTTAAACTTTTTTAACAAATAAAATACTGAAAAGACGGGCGTGCAATATTATTCGGCCCCCTTGCGCTAATACTTTGTAGCACCACCTTTTGCTGCAGTTACAGCTGCAAGTTGCTTGGGGTATGTCTCTATCAGTTTTGCACATTGAGAGACTCGAATTCTTGCCCATTCTTCCTTGCAAAACAGCTCGAGCTCAGTCAGGTTGGATGGAGAGCGTTTGTGAACAGCAGTCTTCAGCTATTTCCACAGATTCTCGATTGGATTCAGGTCTGGACTTTGACTTGGCCATTCTAACACCTGGATACGTCTATTTGTGAACCATTCCATTGTAGATTTGGCTTTATGTTTTGGATCATTGTCCTGTTGGAAGATAAATCTCCGTCCCAGTCTCAGGTCTTTTTCAGACTCCAACAGGTTTTCTTCCAGAATGGTCCTGTATTTAGCTCCATCCATCTTCCCATCAATTTTAGCCATCTTCCTTGTCCCTGCTGAAGAAAAGCAGGCCCAAACCATGATGCTGCCACCACCATGTTTGACAGTGGGGATGGTGTGTTCAGGGTGATGAGCTGTGTTGCTTTTACGCCAAACATATCGTTTTGCATTGTGGCCAAAAAGTTAGATTTTGGTTTCATCTGACCAGAGCACCTTCTTCCACATGTTTGGTGTGTCTCCCAGGTGGCTTGTGGCAAACTTTAAACGAAACTTTTTATGGATATCTTTGAGAAATGGCTTTCTTCTTGCCACTCTTCCATAAAGGCCAGATTTGTGCAGTGCACGACTGATTGTTGTCCTATGGACAGACTCTCCCACCTCAGCTATAGTTATCTGCAGTTCATCCAGAGTGATCATGGGCCTCTTGGCTGCATCTCTGATCAGCAATATGGCCTACGTGCAGGACTGTACAAGGACTCTACAAGGACTCCATGTTATGACTATGATTTGACTGTCTCTTTGTGACACGTATGTCTTTCGATGTGTGACGTGACAATGACTATATAAACTGTGTACTGCCTTTATTCTGTCTGAGGAAAAGAAACAGAGTAAACCAGTGGAACTTGAGAGCAACTTAAATAAACTTCCAGAGTTTGGCACACCACGATCCGTCTCTGTCTGCTTAAATCCTAACACTTGTTTGAGATGAAAGTTTGGAGGGACGGCCGGGTCTTGGTAGATTTGCAGTGGTCTGATGCTCCTTCCATTTCAATATAATTGCTTGCACAGTGCTCCTTGAGATGTTTAAAGCTTGGGAAATCTTTTTGTATCCATATCCGGCTTTAAACTTCTCTACAACAGTATCTCGGACCTGCCTGGTGTGTTCCTTTGTCTTCATGGTTCTCTCTGTGCTTTAAACAGAACCCTGTGACTATCAAAGAGCAGGTGCATTTATACGGAGACTTGATTACACACAGGTGCATTCTATTTATCATCATCAGTCATTTAGGACAACATTGGATCATTCAAAGATCCTCACTGAACTTCTGGAGTGAGTTTGCTGCACTGAAAGTAAAGGGGCTGAATAATATTGCACGCCCCACTTTTCAGTTTTTTATTTGTTAAAAAAGTTTAAATTATCCAATACATTTCGTTCCACTTCATGATTGTGTCCCACTTGTTGTTGATTCATGACAAAAAATTTAAATTTTATATCTTTGATTGAAGCCTGAAATGTGGCGAAATGTTGAAAGGTTCAAGGGGGCCGAATACTTTCGCAAGGCACTGTAGTTCACTCGTATTTTCATTTATGCGCCTTCTTCGAACAGTTGCAGAGTCCACTGGTGGTTTGTTAGTGAAACACATGTAAAAAAAAAACACAGAAATGATCCGAAAGAGCAACATCGACCACGTTTACATTTGAAATATTCACCCCCTTAGTAACTAACAGATCTAGAGTGTGCCCTCTGTTGTGGGTGGGGCCACTTACGTGCTGAGTGAGATCAAAGGATTCAAGTACAGAACTCAGCTCATTTGCATTTCTGTCATCAACATTATCCACATGAATATTAAAATCACCTGTAATAACCAAACTATCAAAATCTGTGCATACAACTGAAAGCAACTCCGTAAAATTATCAATAAAACTGTGACATGACTGCGGTGGCTTGTATAGGACAATGAAGAGTATTGGAGGAGATTGTTTTTGTTGTATTTTAAAAGACACATATTCAAATGACGAAAACTTCCCAAGAGACATTCTATGGGAGACAAAGTGGTCTCTAAAAATGGCAGCTAAGCCTCCTCCTTTTTTGTTTTCCCGTATTTCAGATTCAAATTTGAAATTTGGTGGTGATGCTTCTATTAAAACTGCATTTCCTGAATTTTGGTCAAGCCAAGTTTCAGCCATGAACATAAGATCAAGATTATGAGAACAAATAAAATTATTGATTGAAAAAGACTTGTTACAAAGAGATCTGACATTAAGCGTAGCAACTTTCAAAGTTTCAGTATCAGCGGTTGTGGTCGGCTGATTCTTATACGGAACAAGAATTAGATTTTCCAGATTAGACTGATTAACTCCAGATGTCTTTCTGTTATGTATTCTTTCTGTTATGTATTCTTTGTGTTATCACTAAAGCAATGGCACAGGTGGCTTCATGACAGGGCCCCAGCCGGGTCTCTCCTCTAACTAGACTGCCAGTGGCTGCGAAGCAGAGACCCTGTGCATCCTAGTGTTTAGAGAAAAGAGGGGAAGGGGAAGGCGGGGGAGGAGGATGGAGAGGTGGGTGGCTTTTGGGTGTTGAAGGAGGGGGGCAGAGATAGTAAACTGCAATCGCTTATACTCAATGGTCAATCAGTCAGAATATTATTTCACAAAGTAGGAAATTGCTTTGACTCTTGGTGTAAACAAGTTTTAAAGTAAAAAATGTAATAACGCATGGATAGAGAAATGAAAAATCTACATTGCATTACTTACCATTGACAGCTACTTTGAGAATGATCAATGTATTTGTTTTGTTTGGATGAATGGGTTTCTGCTGCTACTGGGCACATGAATGTCCAGTTTTTTTGATCCTACAGCGATCAATAAAATATCTATTAAAATCACTATATACAAATGCACACAATAGAAAATCACAGCTTCTGCCCATGGTATAAGCTCTTATCATTCACACAATACAAAGTTGTGTTTTAAAACGATATAGGCCTGTTTATGTAATGTGTTTTCTCTCAAGGGCTGCTCTGCCTCTCAAACCAATGAGTCGCATTTTTGCTCAAGGAAATATATCTCTGAAACAATAACTTTATCTCTAGTCTGAAGACACTACGACACCAAGCCTCTCCTTTAAGAAATATTGTATTCATCCCACAGTGGGGGAAATGTCAGTGTTGCATCTCCAGTTACAGAACAGTAGGAAAGAGGAGCACACAGCACAAGATAAATGAACAATAACCCAATACTAAAATGAAATTAAATCTCTAACTTTAGCATAATAAAAAAGCAGGTATAAACTCTAATGCTAACTCTACTGTAAACTGTGTCGGAAGTTTAGGACAGATATTGGCCACAAACAGTTTTCAGTGTTTACATAAAAACATGAATTGGAAACTTTACTCGTGTCTCAATCTGTTAAGGATATTCTTAGACGCTGGAGCCTAAGGATGTAACATTGTATTCATGTCTCAGCTTCTGTCAGTGTGGATCAGTCTTGTGATTACAACATTGGATCTGTTCCTCCGGACAGAGACCCCCCCCCCTCTCGCCTGTTGCAGACTTGTATATAAGCAGTAAACCCAGGCCCTGTCTCAGTCTGCGGAGCCACTTTTCATTGGCCATGTGTAGCTCTGTCATTTGGTATGTTTGCTGGAATCATTGAGGCCGTTTCTGTAGCCTTTTGTGATCTAGAGATCAGAATGGGGGCTACGCTAACTCTAAGGTTTGTTTCCATGACTTGTGTTAGCAGTTGTTGGTTGTTTGCTGGTCAGGTGTAGGTCAGTCTGATGATGTTGGACTTTGCTGTTTCAGCCATCTGTCCACAGAGATGACCAAGTACAAAGTGGAGCTGGTGTCGAAGGAGTCTGAGCTGAAGCATCTGCAAAAGGACGTGTCCCAGAAGGCGTCCCAGATCAGCCTCCTGGAGGAGAGTTTGCAGAGGGTCAAGGCTCTGCTGGAGACCAAGGCTGACAGGGGTGAGGCCTGGGTCTGCTGTTGCAGTCTAGCTGATGGGAAAAGCGTCAGGTGTTAAAGTGTGTTGTGTTCAGTGTTGGATCTGGAGGAGACGCTGCACCGCTGCGAGGCAGACCAGCTGCTCTGCAGACAGAGGGCTCAGGCTCTGGAGGAGCAGCTCCAGGGCGTCAGGGCAGAGCTGGGAGACACGCTGCAGCAGCTGCAGCAGCTGAAGGAGCTGCTGCTGAAGACTCAGACCACAGCAGATGAGAGGCAGGCCTCAGTGGACCGGCTCAGTCTGGAGCTCAGGTGAGGCCAGATCCAGCTGGGTTCACACTGGTTTAGAGCGACACCGCGGCCCGTGCAGTCTCAGGGCTGGTTTCAGATACGCTCTTGTGCAACAGGCTGGACGTTGTTCACTGCAGCCAAAGTGTCGCAGACTGGAACACAAAGAGGCCTGTAAACCACAAATACACGCAGCAACGTCCAAAAACATAGAACATGTGTTTGTGTAAAAGACTCGATCAGCACCACCTGCTCATCATGTCCCACATCTGGAGGACAACGGCAGGATTCTGGGATTCTGGACTTTTTTCCTTTCATAAAATCTGGAGTCTTGTCAAGTGAGTCTTGTCAAGTGAGTGTGTGTGTGTGTGTGTGTGTGTGTGTGTGTGTGTGTGTGTGTGTGTGTGTGTGTGTGTGTGTGTGTGTGTGTGTGTGTGTGTGTGTGTGTGTGTGTGTGTGTGTGTGTGTGTGTGTGTGTGTGGTGTGTGTGTGTGTGTGTGTGTGTGTGTGTGTGTGTGTGTGTGTGTGTGTGTGTGTGTGTGTGTGTGTGTGTGTGTGTGTGTGGTGGATCAGCTCAACAGTGGAGCTCACTGCCTTGATCTAAACGGTTCCATGTGTGTGGAAACATTGGTCCTTGTGGACGTCCTGTAGTGACTGTGTCACAGTTTGTTATAAAACAAAGATGTTTTTACTGTTGTCTTTTCACTTTGTTCCTGCAGTGTCTTGAATGATGTCACTTTATGCAAACAGCACCACATTCTCTCAAACACAAAAGAGTTAACGTCATGTGCCTCAGATTCACCCAATGGGAGTCATTCACATTTAAACCTTATTGTTATAAAAAACATCTTTGTGACTATAACCTACTTAAACACATGGTCATGACCTTCTTTTTTATTATTTAATACACATTTATCTCCAAACTTGAATCTGTTCTGAGGGCGGCCCCTGTGCGTGACCCACAATTACATCACATGTTGGAAGCAGTAGCAACACAATAAGAAGCCTGTTTATTGTGATGTCGCACTTACCCCAGTGTTCACCCAAAGAATCTACAAATGAAAGTAGCTCAACAAGACGCCACTTGTCTTTGTCTCCTCCGGGATCAAAGCTGTGGCGCTACATGTTTCACTGCTCACACATGTGATAATGATACACAAATATGATGCAATGCCACATCTCCACCACACAATCATACAAACATTTCTAACTGATTGGACTGATCATATAATAGTATTTATTTGCATTAATAGTATTTTTTGATCAGTCCATCCATCCATCCAAATGGATGGATGGATGGATGGACTGATCAAAAAATACTATTATTTCCTAAATGGGGAAATTCAAGTGTTTTGACTCACAGATGTAAACACAACATATAATATTAGTCAATTAAAACATTTAGACGTGTACAACAACATTTAATAATAATAGCTTAAACTATCCACTGTATTTTGCTATTGGAAACAAAATACTTTCTGGACCATTCTGCAGCTCAGAAAGACATAGAGAAGACTGAAGTGAAAGGACCTAAGCGTGTGTGTGTTTGTGTATTTATTCTTATTTTTATTTGTTATTATTTTCATTTATTTTATTTGTTATTATTTTTATTTTTGTATTTATTTTTATTTGTGTATTTGTATTTTTTGTTATTATTTTTATTTGTGTATTTGTATTTTTTGTGTCTATTTTTATTTGTGTATTTATTTGTGTTTGTATTTATTTGTATCAGTATTTATTTGTGTGTGTATTTGTGCGATCGCAGAGAGTGCCGACAGGAGCTGGAGGAGAGGACACATGAGGTCCTGGACATGGACAATGCCCTGAAGGAAAGACAGGGGGAGCTGCAGCAGAGGGCCCAGCTGGTACGACACACACCGCAGAAGATAATGATTCATTTTCAGAGAATATGAACCATAAGATATTTTCCCACTTTGGTCATTAATTGGGTAAATTAAATGAGAAATGTGAACCACCAAAGCACCATAGAAAACCCATGCATTATTTACTACCCTTCATACTCATCATATTCTACATATTCACATTCTAAAAGATAAAATGACAAAATAAAAAGCCTAATTTTAATCATTAAGGGCCAAAAGTATTTAATCTTGAATATAGTCTTTCCTCATTTGTTTAGTTTATAACCTTTGAACAGAAACAGTCGCTTATACAACACAAAAAACATGTACTTTAGTCATAGGCTTGGTCTTTGTGATCTCTTTTGTTTGAACGACTTGATTTTTGAGAAAAGAGAAATAATGGCATTGACCAAAACGTTTTGACTTCTTTGTTTTTGTCAGTTGGGACAGTTGGACGTGGCGATCCGCGAGCACAAGCTAGAGATGCAGAAGAAGACGGACTCGTTACAGCAGAGACTGGAGGCCACAGAGCAGCAGCTCCGAGAGGCTCAGGGGCGGCTGGCTGAGAGGGACCACCAGGTGAGCCAGGTTCAAATGGACATATATGAGGCTAAATGTATTCTGCATTTCACAACATTGTTCCCTGTCAAACAAAAATTTACCTTTGTTTTTACCTCCATCCACGCCAATATTAGGCACTTGTTTAAAGATATATAGGAGGATTCTCTACTTCCGGAGAGGTCCTCTTAAGTGTCAATCATTCTGGTGATATGTGCTCATCAAATACGACCAGAGAGTTTTGTTCAAAAAGTGGAGCAATTGGGGAAATCCCTTTTTAATATTTTTGAGGATTGTTTGGCCATTTCACATTATAGAATAAAGGACAATATTTTTTGTATAAAGTAAATTGTGAAACTAGTATCTCGGGACAATGTCACCAGCCTGCCCAATCCCTATGCTCCCACCAAAGGAAGCTATAGAATTTTTTGTATTTTGTATTTTTGTCTGAATTTGATAAATGTGATTGTAAAGCACGTTGTTTCACCTGATCAATTCCAAAACTAATATATGGCCAATACTTTTTTTAATGGTACCATGACATCAAACGATTTCAGGACTGAATTAGTTTACATACGCTTTTAGACAGAAGGGGAGGAGTTACAGATTTGATTTCTGAACAATCTTTAAATGTAGGAGTCATTAATACGTCAGTACTGATCATTACTCCCATCTAGTGGAAGAAGTGGGAAAGTACCAACTGATTTCTTTTGTATTTATCTAACATGGTGTGTTCTCATTTCCATTGACAATTTGTTCTGTTGTGTGTGTGTCTCTCTGTGTGTCTGTGTGTGTCTCTATGTGTCGTTGTGTGTGCGCGCGTGTGTGTGTGTGTGTGTGTGTCAGGAGTCGGCTCAGCTGGTGTCCTGTCAGCACAGACTGGAAGCTGCTCTGGTAGAATCTAAAACCTCTCTGCAGAGATGTGAGGCCCTGAACTCAGAGCTGGACATCATTCGACAGCGGAGCCATAACACGGTCTGTCACTCTGTGTTTGTTTGACTATTAGGGCTGTTGTTTAAAATGTTATATCCATCTTATGTTGTTTTGAAATTAAGTTGTCTAATCTGTGAAAAGTACGGCCTGGTGCGTCCCACGGGTCCCGAGAGAGAGAGACCAGAGAGAGAGACCAGAGAGAGAGACCAGAGAGAGAGACCAGAGAGAGAGACCAGAGAGAGAGACCAGAGAGAGAGACCAGAGAGAGAGACCAGAGAGAGAGACCAGAGAGAGAGACCAGAGAGAGAGACCAGAGAGAGAGACCAGAGAGAGAGACCAGAGAGAGAGACCAGAGAGAGAGACCAGAGAGAGAGACCAGAGAGAGAGACCAGAGAGAGAGGCCCGAGAGAGAGGCCCGAGAGAGAGGCCCGAGAGAGAGGCCCGAGAGAGAGACCAGAGAGAGAGACCAGAGAGAGAGAGAGAGAGACCCGAGAGAGAGACCCGAGAGAGAGACCCGAGAGAGAGACCCGAGAGAGAGGCCCGAGAGAGAGGCCCGAGAGAGAGGCCCGAGAGAGAGGCCCGAGAGAGAGGCCCGAGAGAGAGGCCCGAGAGAGAGGCCCGAGAGAGAGGCCCGAGAGAGAGGCCCGAGAGAGAGGCCCGAGAGAGAGGCCCGAGAGAGAGGCCCGAGAGAGAGGCCCGAGAGAGAGGCCCGAGAGAGAGACCCGGGAGAGAGACCCGGGAGAGAGACCAGGGAGAGAGACCAGGGAGAGAGACACCAGGGGGGGAGACACGAGAGAGAGACCCGAGAATCTGCAGGCCCAAGTCCGGGTGGCGAGATTCCAAGATCCCATAATCATGCCATTAATGCCATTAAACCGACAGCGGGACATATTTGATAATAGTAAATATTTTAGAGGGAGATATGATTGCTAAATAGTTCCTTAGACCAGTGTTCCCCAAACGTTCTGAGCTGTGGCACACCTTTTTCCTCGAAGACAGTCACATGGCACAACACCAACTGAAACTGATACAAACATTAAGATTGGATTGAGATATTTAGGAGAAGAGTTGTATCACCAGTTATCACGAAATAAAAATGAAACTCTCACTTCTCATCAACGTGTATTTTATGGAAAACATAAAGAAGTGCACAAAAGTCTTTCAAATCTCACATTATTTGCTTTTCTCATTATTTTGTCGAATTCGCTGATATTGGATAGTTTCAAAGGGAACACCAAATCACATCTTTAGGCACACACTGGTTGAAGAACACTATCTTAGAGGATATTTGGTGGGAAATGTTGACAACGTCGGCCTTAGAAAAAATGAGAGCTGAATAAAAAGTAAAACAGTTGTTAAATTGTTGTCAGGAGGAGGAGCTGAGTCGCACCGAGGAGGAGCTGGCCCTGAAGGAGGCGCACTGGCTCCACACCGAGGCCACACTGAAGGAGACTGTGAGCCGGCTGCACCAGGAGCTGGAGCTGGAGAGAGAGCAGCACAACAAGGAGGTACCAGAGAGAGATAGAGAGACCAGAGAGAGAGAGACCAGAGAGAGGCCAGAGAGAGAGGCCAGAGAGAGAGACCAAAGAGAGAGAGACCAAAGAGAGAGAGACCAAAGAGAGAGAGACCAGAGAGAGAGAGAGAGACCAGAGAGCGACCAGAGAGAGCAACCAGAGAGGGCGACCAGAGAGGGCGACCAAAGAGAAAGAGACCAGAGAGAGAGACCAGAGAGAGAGAGACCAGAGAGAGAGAGAGACCAGAGAGAGAGAGACCAGAGAGAGAGAGACCAGAGAGAGAGAGACCAGAGAGAGAGAGACCAGAGAGAGAGAGACCAGAGAGAGAGACCAGAGAGAGAGACCAGAGAGAGACCAGAGAGAGAGACCAGAGAGAGAGACCAGAGAGAGAGACCAGAGAGAGAGACCAGAGAGAGAGACCAGAGAGAGAGACCAGAGAGAGAGGCCAGAGAGAGAGGCCAGAGAGAGAGAGAGAGCAGAGAGAGAGAGAGAGAGACCAGAGAGCGACCAGAGAGAGCGACCAGAGAGAGCGACCAGAGAGGGCGACCAGAGAGGGCGACCAAAGAGAAAGAGACCAGAGAGAGAGACCAGAGAGAGAGAGACCAGAGAGAGAGAGAGACCAGAGAGAGAGAGACCAGAGAGAGAGAGACCAGAGAGAGAGAGAGACCAGAGAGAGAGAGAGACCAGAGAGAGAGAGACCAGAGAGAGAGAGACCAGAGAGAGAGAGACCAGAGAGAGAGAGACCAGAGAGAGAGAGACCAGAGAGAGAGAGACCAGAGAGAGAGACCAGAGAGAGACCAGAGAGAGAGACCAGAGAGAGAGACCAGAGAGAGAGACCAGAGAGAGAGACCAGAGAGAGAGACCAGAGAGAGAGACCAGAGAGAGAGACCAGAGAGAGAGGCCAGAGAGAGAGGCCATCACAACAAGGAGGTACCACAGGGCCTGAGAGAGAGACCAGAGAGTGGAGAGACCAGAGAGTGGAGAGACCAGAGAGTGGAGAGACCAGAGAGTGGAGAGAGACCCGAGAGTGGAGAGAGACCCGAGAGTGGAGAGAGACCCGAGAGTGGAGAGAGACCCGAGAGTGGAGAGAGACCCGAGAGTGGAGAGAGACCCGAGAGTGGAGAGAGAGACCCGAGAGTGGAGAGAGAGACCAGAGAGAGAGATTGTTGGAATATCAAAAAGAGCAAAGAGTTATTGTTTTCCAGGTTCATTGAAACACGCCCCATAATCACAGCCCCATGGATCCTTTCAGTATCGTGAACATGACCTCATGAGGCTCATTTTAGGCTTTAATGAACACAAACATCATATTTACTTTTTAAACCCTGTTCTGTGTCTTTCTGCAGCTGGAGTCCCTGCAGCAAACCAGAGGACAGCTCCTCAAAGTCTCAGAGCAGATGTCGACCACCATGAAGTCCTCTCAGGAACAACTGACCTCCAAGCTCCAGCTCTGTCAGGACCAGCTAGACCAGAGCCACAGAGACCTGCTCCAGACCAGGACCCAGCTGGAGCAGAGCCACAGAGACCTGCTCCAGACCAGGACCCAGCTGGAGCAGAGCCACAGAGACCTGCTCCAGACCAGGACCCAGCTGGACCAGAGCCACAGAGACCTGCTCCAGACCAGGACCCAGCTGGACCAGAGCCTTGTGGAGCTTGAGGAGGTCAGGGGGCGGTATGAGGAAACCAGGACCCAGAATACACAGCTGCAGGTCCAGTTGGAGCAGGTCTCGGCCCGGTCCCAGGAGCTCCAGCAGCAGCTCTCAGCCTCGCATCAGTCCATGGAGTCGTCCCACCACTCTCTGCTCATCAAGGTTTTTATCTGGTTTATATCGATGTTTTTCTTTCACCAAAACATTTGTCACATCCATTCTAACATCAGGAACTTCAGGCGCAGATGCAACTCCCCACTTCCTCAACCTGAAAGACCTATTTTTCAAAATGGTTACAGAATGACAAAATCTAAATTATTATGGCAAAAAAATCTTATATTAGTCATCATATATAAAACAAAAAGCCATGGGAGTCACTATTTAATGCTTTGGGCTGAGAGGGGAAGGAAAAAGAGAGGCCCAACTTCACTCTGCAACTTTTCTGTCTGAAAGATCTGATCTGAAGGTGTGACCGAGGCCAGAAAGTTACAGTAACTATTGCTCCGTGAATTCTGGAGGACGTCATTTTCTGCTTATTTCAGCCCCAGAACATAAAGATATTCACTTGGGCGTTCCATTTTATTATTATTTTTTTTTTTATACTTTATTGTGTCATCTTGATTAGTTCACACTGTTTTCTTAATACATACATCTTAACAAGACACATTTTAATTTCTTTCTTTTTTCCCCCGCTATGCTTCCCTTGTGTCAAGAGAAGGATAAAACAAGACAAAGCAAAACAAATACATAGATAAATAAATAATACATCAAATATGTAAAAAAATTGGGTTTCATATGACGTCAGGGCAGTGGCACGAATAACAAACGTAGGACAGGACGTGACGTATCCTGGCGCTGCAGTCTGCCGGGTTTATACACGGAGATATAGTAGAAGAAGAAGTGGTTTATACACGGAGATATAGTAGAAGAAGAAGCGCTGTCAAAATGCCATCTTTTTGTGCGGTGTTCTGCTCATTCGCCCCCTACTGGCCAGTTTAATGAAACACAAGAATATCTTTATGTAATTCCATAATCCATGGTCGTCACTATTTGATACTTTGGGCTGAGAGCAAAGTGAAAAAGAGAAGCCCAACTTCACTGAAACTTTTTCTGTCTGATCTGAAGATGTGACTGTCTCCATGGTTCTATGAATCCTGGAGAACCCTCTTTTTTGTTCATTTTGACCCCAGAACATGAGAATATTCACTTTGGCGTTCCATGTTTTTAAAAGATCAAATGTATAAATTGTGTGGACAAGCATGTATATCCAAGCCGTCCTAAGATGTACCTGGCCTGGAGCTGTCCTGTCTTTAAAAAGCATATTTTTTAAAGACAAAGAAGGCTCAGAAAGAAAGTATTTTGTGTGGATTTATCTGAAGCCTTCTGTGTTCAAACCTGCTTCTCTCCTCTCACTGCAGGAGTCTGAAGTGACCCGTCTCCTGGGTAAAATCTCCAGCCTGGAACGCGCCGCAGACCGCCAGCACCTCCCTCAGACCTCCCCCTCTCTCCCCCCTTCCTCCCCCATCCCTCACCCCCACCCTCACCCCTCCATGACAGACAACAGAAAGGTGTCAGACTGGTTACACAGCAGCAGCAGCAGAGACACCACCATGGCCTCGTCCCTGGACCTCCCGCCCGCTTTGAAAGACGCTCTGAGAGACGCTTTAGCCGAACCCTCGTGGAACTCCTCTTCCTCGTTCCCGGAGAGCGCCGTGGACCAGAGCTGGCAGGGTCTGGCCTCCGCGGACGCCACAGTCGTCTCGGACCGGTCCTTCAACCCTCTCACGTACATGCTGGACCAGGGGCAGAGAGACGTGGGCCGGCGGGAGTCCAGGGGAACGCCGGTGCTCCCTGTACGTGACGAGGCAGATCTGAGCTCGCTGACCGGGATGCTGAGGTTCGTCAATCAGACTCTGGCCATGCAGGAGGACCAGGAGGAGACCAGCGGGAAAACGTGACATCACAGAGTGTCTGAAGGTAAAGCAACGATGTGTAAGTTTCAGGCTTGATTCAGAAGACATAGAGAGTCACACTGGAGCTTTCTCTGGGTCAAAAACACAACAAATGATATAAAACGTGTATATGGTTTGAAAGAGGCAATTCTCCTTTACGTGTAGTTTATGCTTCTGCTAATTTTACAAGCGGCTTTACTTTACTAGAGGCTCAAAGCTGACACATATTGATAGTGAGATTGATAGAAATGAATAAAACGAATGAAACAGGATGAAGCAGCTTGAATGGTTTGACTTTTAAACTACAAAAATGTGTCTATGTATTAAATCTGTATCCATTTAAGCAGTTTTTTTTAATCTATAGTTCCAGATGAATGTATTTTTTCTGTCACTGAAAAAGACAAGACCTTCTCACTCGGCCAATCAGCTCAAAATGGGTTTTTTTTTACAAGCTTTTGGAACAAACAAAATGCGTATTTTTTTTTTTTCTATAAAAGTGAGTTTCTCCAGTTTGATGAATAAATCCTCAGGAGCATTTGGATCAAAGAAGCTAAAATATATCTTGTATATGTTGACCTTGTGTCCTTCTGTTATTCAAAGACATTTATAGACATTCTTTTTGTTTCTACATTTAATATACATATATACAGACATTAATCTTATTCAGTTTCATCTACATTCGGGAGGCATCCACTCTAGACACTAGACCAAAAAATAAATAAATAGATAAATAAGCATAACAAATAAGACTAAGGAAAAAATATATAAACCGCACCAAGAAACCAGCAGTGAAATACACATATATACACATACAAAGTTTATTTTAAGACATACACTTTTTTGTAAATATAAATTATTGTTACGGATTTTATTGGTTGAGTTTTCTTTTCAATCTTTTTATTGAAGTTACACAATAATGGACACATAGAAAAATTACAAAGTTCTTGTTATTATTTTTTTAAACCAATAACCCCCAAAAAAGACCCATTACAGTCACACATTGAGACAAACATGGATGTTGTAAAAACTAACTAATACAATCTAAACAGTCATGGATCCTATACAAAGTAAGTAAATAAAAATAAAGCAAATAGTGTAGAAAATAATAATTAAAAATAAATAAAAATATGTATGTGTTGATTTTGACCAAAGTTTTCTTCTTCCTACTCCTTTCAGACAACTATTTTGGTTTAGTTATTAGTATTTTTTGTTCCCTCTTATGCATGTTAGCAATACTTTATTTATTTTTGTGTGAAACTATGATGGACAAGAGGTCACTTGTGCCTAATGTGAAATGTCTGAAATGAACAAATAATACGTCACGGCATTAAACCTGAGCGCGTCATTCTTTCTCTAACCACTAGAGGGCGACAAAGCGGCGTCATCGTGACTTCCATCCACATTTTTGTCTAACCCTGGATGTTTTTTATTCTCTAACCCTGTCATCAGCTCCTTTATCCTCTCATTGTCCTCACACTTCTTCATTTTTGTTGATCTCTTGCTGTTGTTTTTTATTTTTGAAGTTAAAGTGAGTAAATCAAATCTGGGTGTTTTGCAGAAGTGAACGTTCTGCTGTGGTTTTGTGACTTCATGTTTTTGCGTGGTGTGTTTTTTCAGTGACGGCTGCGTCTCCAGATTCTGAGAAAATGATTAACATACAAATAAAACATCTGGAACTTGGAGTGAAGCAATAACCGCTGAACAAAAATAATAATAATAATTCCACAATATCAGAAGTGTTAGGATGGACTCAGAGCTTTTCAGGGCTCGGTGTCTGTAACAAGGCACTTTTAATTCTTTACAATACATTTTTAAACTATTTTATACAATTCAGTCAAAATTTATATGTTTATGCCTCTTCCCTAATGCCATTTTAACCAATAAATGCATTAATATTGTTGTTTATCTTCCTCTTATTGAAGATAGAATCAGACCTGTCAAAAAAAGTAAAAATCCTAAATAATCACTGTACATTAAGATTAGTAAATATAAAATCCCTCTGTTGTTGCAGCGAACTGCTTTTAACCTGGATTTGAACATTGTCAGAATGAACTATAAAAGTGTTATTGCTGTGACATAACAATGAAAAACAATATCGTATCAAACTTAAGATTTTTTTTTGATTTTATGAAATGACAAAGTAAAGTCGTCTCAAAACGAATGGTCAGAAATGATGCATAATATTTCTTCTTTTTGAGAGAAGTAGCGTTTGAAGTATGACGTAAAACAGGAAATTGCCGCGTGACGGAAACCACAATTTCAAAAAGTCCTTCTGCATTTACCACCTGATGCGTCGGTAACCATGACGACGCAGTATTCTTATCGCTGCAGGATGTGGTCTGGTCTTTGGACTGGGACTTTTTCACGATCTTGATTTTTGTGGTACTACTTTACTCCCATCAGGCCCCACACTCACACAGCCACAGCACTAGTAATGTGTGTCTGCTGGTTTCTCGCCTGCTGCAGCTCGAGTCCTGACCAGAACCAGGAAGTACCACCACATTAGTCCAGTTCTCAGGTCTCCGCGCTGGCTTCCTGTGGTAGAAAATATACAGACCTCGTTTCATCTTTTACCATCAAACTGCATCTTAACCATTTTGGTAAAGGCCGATAATTAAAAAAACTAGGGGTTAAATAATTATTTTTAGTGCTCCTACATCTTAGCAACGCACATTTTTCTGCACGGTAAAGGGTTAAATTGATCAATAAACAAGTCCAGGTCTGTTTTAATACAATTGAACTTCTGTCTGTTTTGCTAATCTGATTGTTTGTGCCGGTTTGAAACTAACATCTAATCAAATCTGAAAGAGGGAACAATATCCTAACATGGTTAAACTACAGCAAATATTGAGCTTCCAGGTTTTGTGGATCTGGCAACAAACCCCAGACAGACCCAGCAGTAACAGCAGCAGCAGCAGCAGTAACAGCAGCAGCAGCAGATGTGACTGTACATGAGGCACACGGCGGACTATTTAAAGCCCAGTGTTATCTCTGCTCACACAGACCTCGGCACAAAGACTGCAGCGACATCACTCACAGCGTGGGACGGTCTCGCTCTGGTCTCTACTCGGACACGGAGCAGTTACAGGAGACGCCAGGTCTGCGTGAAGCTGACGTGATTTACAGATATTGGCTGATCAGTTTAAACATGTATTAAATGAGGAATAAATCTGCCTCTGGACCTTTCCTTCTCTTGCATCAAAACCATAACAATGAACGGTATCAAGTCAGGAATCTACAATTACATTTCAATCGCCACATCAATTATCAACATCAGCAGCTTTTTACAATCTATAAAACTCTGCCAGGATCCAAAAAGTGCCTAAAACAGACTTGCAATTGACTCCAGTGACTGTAACGGCTGCTCTCTGGTCTCTTCAAACAAACCCTAAAACAGCTGCAGTAGATTCAAAACGCAGCAGCTCGAGTCCGGACTAGAACCAGGAAGTATCAAAACATTAGTCCAGTTCTCAGGTCTCTGCTTCCTGTGGCTCAGAGAATAGACTTTAAAACAGCTCTGGTTGTTACGAGTCTCTCCATGGCCTCGCACCAAAGTCTGTGACTCTGAGGAGCACAGGGACTGGTCTCCTGCTGGTCCCAGAGTCAGGACTAAACATGAGGTGGCAGCTGTTCATATTGATTCAGCTAAATTCTAGAACAGTCTTCCTTCAAGACTCTGCTGTCGTTGTGTCCTTGGGCAAGACACTTGGCCCCACTTTGCCTGAAGCCCCCGCTGAAAAGATCAGGGCTCCTGTGGACTCAGCACCAGCCCCTCACTGATCATCCTGCAGGTGGTATGTGTACTCGGTGCAGCTCTGACTGCCACCCCCCGACCCAGCAATGGATTAAGGGGAAGAAAATGGACGGAAAATGGATGGATGGTCTTCCTGTAAATGTGAGACAGGCCTCTTCTCTGCCAATGTTTGAATCCAGGTTAAAAATAGTTCTGTTTATCTGTGTTTACAACTGAAGGATTGCATCTTTCTCTTTTTAATGCACTGTCACTAAACATGATTTTAAAGCCTTGTGTGCTTCTTCCTTGTTTTGTGTTGTCTTGTGTATAAATAAACAAATAAACCTGCCTTTCCTCTGTGTGGTGATGGTCTTGGCACCAACAGGTCATTGTTAAACAGAATGTTTGAAATGTCAATATTGATCTAATGCTCGGCACACACACTTTTACACAAAGAACATCTGTTTAATTAAAAAACCAGGAAACCGGAGAGAGTTGTTTTTATCTGGCAACCACAGACTCAGGATTATTTACCTTCTTTAGGACCAGATTATTGAGGAGACTATTTGCTCTGGGCCGGATGATCCCTGTGCTCCTCAGGGTCCCAGCAGGAGGCCAGTCCCTGTGCTCCTCAGAGTCCCAGCAGGAGGCCAGTCCCTGTGCTCCTCAGAGTCCCAGCAGGAGGCCAGACTGTAGTCAAGTGCACAGTTATGGTCAGTGCTCATCTGTAAGACCTATGAAGCCTAATAGGGAAGTGCTCATGGGTGAAGTTTTGCTCCAATTCACTTTTGTTTTAAAAGGCAGAACACTGCTCTGAGTGTGACGTCATAGTGGTACAATGACATCATCTATAACGGACTGAGACAGAAGGGGCGGAGCTACGTGTTTGAGCCAGAAGCTCCTGATATTAACACTGATGGATCTAAAAACAACTCCAGGTCTGGTTTAGATGAAGTATTTCGTTTATTCTCTTTTAATTCTATTCCTCTTTATATATTTCTGTTTCAACAGAGTGTGTTCAGAGTGTTCAGGAAGTAGAGGCACTTTCTCTGCAGTAAAACCAACACACACACACGCACACACACACACACGCACTCTGTTGGTTTAAGTGAAGCCAAACCCAACGCAGACCTTTGTCCTGAACCAGCCCAATGGTCTCTGCTGCTGCTGCTGCTGCTACAGTCAACATCAGGCGATAAGGCCACAGCTGTGCAGCTATAAATGATCTGTGACATTAAATCTATCTTATGCTTGTGGTAATGACATAAAACATTATAATTGTCAGTTGGAACATTTCAAAATATAACAAATATTGAACTAGTAATAAACAAAAACACTGTGTGTAAACTTACATTTATGTAAAATGCACATTTGGTTTGTTCACTCTAACTGGACCAAGTCTGGTTCACTCTAACTGGACCGAGTCTGGTTCACTCTAACTGGACCGAGTTTGGTTCACTCTAACTGGGCTGAGTCTGGTTCACTCTAACTGGACCGAGTCTGGTTCACTCTAACTGGACCGAGTCTGGTTCACTCTAACTGGACCGAGTTTGGTTCACTCTAACTGGGCTGAGTCTGGTTCACTCTAACTGGACCGAGTCTGGTTCACTCTAACTGGACCGAGTTTGGTTCACTCTAACTGGGCTGAGTCTGGTTCACTAACTGGACCGAGTTTGGTTCACTCTAACTGGGCTGAGTCTGGTTCACTCTAACTGGGCCGAGTCTGGTTCACTCTAACTGGACAGAGTTTGGTTCACTTTGGGGGAAATGCTTCATTGATTTGTTTCAAAATAAATAAACTGTCTGAAGCGACCAGTGGACAAAATTCACTTGTTTGGAGTTTTTACATTCACAAATACAGACTTGGTTCAGTTAAAATGAACCAGACCAACACGTGTGAATGCGCCCTGAGTCTGAGGAAAAACACTTTTCTATTAAAAGTTGCAAAACTTTTGCAAAGTTAAACTATTCTAGTTTAACTTTGCAAACAGACGGTTGCATTGGGGGTGGTGCCACACGGAGTACTTCTGCCTGTCCGCTCTGGTCCCACCGTTAAATCCGGTACAAACAGCCTCACACGGGCCTCTCTCCCCCATGGACCGAGTCTGGGTCTCGCTCTGAGCATCTTCTCTCCGGCCTCCGCTCGTGTCCAATAAGGTCCCGCCCCCGCCACACACGCTCCTCTGCGGCTCGGACACACCCACCTCCCTCCGCTCTGCTCTTCGCGTTAAAACATTTCCCTTCCCCGCTTCTGCTGCACTCATCCCGGACTCTGCTCTCACTCACGTCCGCTACGTCTCTTCTCTCATTTCATCTTCCCTTCAATCGTAAGTTAAAAATTATCCACTTTTACGCACGACCATTACGCACGCTTTGGCACGTCTTTACGTCAATCCCCTGCTGCAATCTCACACACATCACGTCTAATTCAATCATAATGAACTTTTGCAGTGACTTTGAGATCTCATAACTGGTTGCAATAGCTTAGACTTTTTGAAATGGTGGTGTCTTGTGAGAACGCCTCGTTATTGTCGCGTCTGGCTGAGATTTTCCCCCCGTTGAGGAGACGCGAATAGCGGGTAATAAAAAGTCCACAGTCCCGCGGCAGAAGCGGTGGAAAGTCCTCGTTTGTCGCGATAATAAACCAGCAAGTTTACGCGAGAATTGAGAGTCGAGGAAGTAGAGTGCGCTGTTATCATGGATCTATTATATTAACTGTTATGTAATAGACTAAACTTTGTGCAAGTTTTCTCCGAAAAAAAACTGATAGAAACCGATCTATATGATAATACAAATCTACCAGTCTGCTGAAATCTACTACTGTGTTAAGACATTGAACAGTGTGTTTTTTTTGTATTATTATTATTATTTGCTGAAGCCTTGCCTTGTGATTGGTTGTCTCTACGAGAGTTTGTATTAATTCATGTTTTGAATTAATGAAAAAAAGAAAGAAAAAAATCACATTGTGCACGATGAAGGTCTAGAGCATGTCTAAAGTAGGTCTAAATGAGGTCTAAAGTAGGTCTAAATGAGGTCCAAAGCAGGACTAAAGCAGTTCTAAAGCAGGTCTAAAGCAGGTCTAAAGCAGGACTAAAGTAGGTCTAAAGCAGGTCTAAAGCAGGTCTAAAGTAGGTCTGAAGCAGGTCTAAAGGAGGTCTAAAGCAGGTCTAAAGCAGGTCTAAAGCAGGTCTAAAGTAGGTCTGAAGCAGGTCTAAAGGAGGTCTAAAGCAGGTCTAAAGCAGGTCTAGGGTAGGTGTAAAGAAGGTCTAAATGAGGTCTAAAGCAGGTCTAGGGCAGGTCTAAAGCAGGTCTAAAGCAGGTCTAAAGCAGGTCTAAAGCAGGACTAAAGCAGGACTATCACAGCCAAAAATGTCCACTGCAACCAACAAAAATATACCGGCATCAATCAACAAAAAAGGCCAAACAAAAGTAAAAAACACAATGCATGAGGTTTCCTACAGCCTGACATTAAACATGTGACATCATCAGGATACGTTACATGTCGTGTCTGTGGAGAGGCGAGTCCTGTCTCTGCATCAAATCAGTTTTCATCCATAATAATCTACACATTTTATCAATGTTATTATTACTATTACTGAGAGACTGAGACGCTTTTCCGGCAAATTGATCTCATCTCTATGGCAACGAGCAGGAAGCGAGTCGACCGCCATCAGCTGCACCCTTCCCCTTTTGTACGTTTTCTGCTGCCGTTTATTGAGCCGTAAATCCTCGGACCTTCAGTCGTCGCACGATATTCTTTTTGACGCTGATATGAAACTTCTGCAAACATTATTAGCACAACAAGCTTTTGACCTGGATCTGATTCTAAGCTCCATTCACGCTACTATCAGGAACCCCCAACCCTTCTGTCCGAATGCTCTGTTTTTAAACTTCTCCTTTTTTGAATGCGTCACGACTGCAGCGTCACATAGACACACACACTATATCCAGCAATAACAGTGACCTACACACACATATACATATACACATGCATACACACAAACACACACGGAAGCACGCATAACGCACGCTCACACATGTACACACACACATTCACGCATACACACACTCACGCATACACACACGCACGACGTACACTCACGCTTACGCACACACATACACATGCATACACACACACTCACACATACACACACGCACGACGTACACTCACGCTTACGCACACACATACACATGCATACACACACACTCACACATACACACACGCACGACGTACACTCACGCTTACCCACACATGCACACATACTGTACATACACACACATACACATACAATGCATACACACACTGACGCTTAATTTTTTATTTTAACCCTTGTTCTATACTTACAATAAATAAATCATTAATTCCTAATCATTTATCAGTAAAAGGACGTGGTTTTAACAAGTGCACAGATACTTATCACAGCGGCAGGGGTGTCCAAACTATTTTCTGTTACTTTTACGTGGCAATAAAAATATTTTAAATGAGGCCGATACAAATCTGTCCCAGGACCGCGTTCAGCTCGTGGGCCGTGGTTTGGACACGCCGTCACGACATGTTTTACTCTCCCGAAGGATCTCATATTTCATGATAGATAGATAGATAGATAGATAGATAGATAGATAGATAGATAGATAGATAGATAGATACATATTGCACATTTTATTATATACACATCTTTATCCATATGTTTTTTGATTCTAAAGCAGGAAATGCCAAAAAATGCATAGTATTTGTCCGGTAAGTCCTCTAATATCAGATGCATTAGCAGCATGGGTCTGTAAGTGCGTGTGTGTGTGTGTGTGTGTGTGTGTGCGCGTGCTTGTGTGTGTGTGTGTTGTTTATCGATTGTGTTATGCTAAAGTGTAACCGGATCCGTCTCGTGCAGCTGAGCAAACCCCACATGCAGTGATCATAGTGGAGAGTCAGCAGAGAGCGGCTTAGGCGGGCGCCGTGTGTGTGTGTCTGTGTGTGTGTGTGTGTCTGTGTGTGTGTGAATGGGAGGGACCCGCTTTTGAAAATACTTTGATTAATGGTGTGTGAAAATAATTGATATTGTGAGTCTCAGAGCAAATATTATCCTTTAATCATAGGTGGCCAAAGTACTAGCCTTATTATTATTATTATTATTATTTGAAATTACATTACGTTTTTCGTTAGATACGTTACAGTATCTATTAAAAAGACACACAGACAAAAAGTGTAGCAGTGGTTCCCGACCTTTCTCAAACCAAGATCTACTTTTAACTTGGGCGTTATGGTGGTGCAGTGGCCTGGAGGACCTCCAGGCCTTTCTGTGTGGAGTTTGCATGTTCTCTCCATGCTTGCGTAGGTTTCCTCCAGGTGCTCCGGTTCAATAGGTCTGCTCCCATCGCTGTGTGGAGTGAGAGATAGATGCAAAGTGTAAAGTCTTTCTGGTCCTGTCTTGGTCCTGTCTCTGGTCCTCTCTCTGGTCCTGTCTCTGGTCCTCTCTCTGGTCCTCTCTCTGGTCCTCTCTCTGGTCCTCTCTGGTCCTGTCTTGGTCCTGTCTCTGGTCCTCTCTCTGGTCCTGTCTCTGGTCCTCTCTCTTGTCCTCAATCTCCTCTCTCTGGTCCTCTCTCTTGTCCTCTCTCTGGTCCTCTCTGGTCCTCTATCTGGTCCTGTCTCTGGTCCTCTCTCTTGTCCTCTCTCTGGTCCTCTCTCTGGTCCTCTCTCTGGTCCTGTCTCTGGTCCTCTCTCTGGTCCTCTCTCTGGTCCTCTCTCTTGTCCTCTCTCTGGTCCTGTCTCCGGTCCTCTCTCTGGTCCTCTCTCTGGTCCTCTCTCTGGTCCTCTCTCTATTCCTCTCTCTGGTCCTCTCTCTGGTCCTCTCTCTGGTCCTCTCTCTGGTCCTCTCTCTATTCCTCTCTCTGGTCCTCTCTCTATTCCTCTCTCTGGTCCTCTCTCTATTCCTCTCTCTGGTCCTCTCTCCGGTCCTCTCTCTGGTCCTCTCTCTGGTCCTCTCTCTGGTCCTCTCTCCGGTCCTCTCTCCGGTCCTCTCTCTGGTCCTCTCTCTGGTCCTCTCTCTAGTCCTCTCTCTGGTCCTCTCTCTGGTCCTCTTTCTGGTCCTCTCTCTGGTCCTCCACCTTGTCCTCCATCTTGGCTCTTGGACGTTTTTGTCTATAATATATTAAAATAACTACCACTTTTTCTTTTCTTTCAATACAAAAAAGTAAACAAACTGGTTAACCAATAAACTTTATTGATCTCACAATCGACAAATTTACATGTGAAGCAAAACTCATTCTGGGTTCAACAATTTAAAAGCTAACAAGCTAGCGTGGGCGGAGCTAAAACCCACTCCAGGTCTGTCCTTGTCGAGGAGATTGGTTTAATGGTAGAAAAACTCAGACCTGTAGATAAACGGCCCATGATTGAATGAGTGGATAAATCTCGTCCCACGTCATCAATGCAATAATCCTGCGGGACTCGTCGTAATCTGCGCTTGTGTAATCTGTAATCTGTAATCTTTGCCTATATCGTCATAAAGTCTATGTACGCCATAAATGTAAACAAGACGTCTGCGGAACTGTGGTGTAGATCATGGGGAAGACTGGAGCAAGTGGAGAGTCCATGTGGAACTCAGAAATACAACATTTAGCATTTTTATAATAACAATAAATAATAATAATGCATTTTGTTGACATTTTTATTCATAACTGGAGGAAGTGTGTGCGGATAGGGAAGTCCGGGCGTCTCTGCTTGGACTCTGCTGCTGCCCCGGCAACGGATGAAGCGGAAAAAAAATGAATGGATGGCATTGTGTTTATACGGCACATATCTGGGCACTCACAAACATACAGTACATTTCCTCCAGGTGCTCCGGTTACCCACTACCACTAAAAACGTTTCAAAATGCAAAATCCTCCATCTCCGGTCCTGACCAAGGTAACCCATGGCAACCACAGCTCCTGACAGACGCCTCCTTTATAGAAGATCCTTTATTCGTCGCACAGTGGGGAAATTTCAGTGTTGCAGCGCACATGCAGGACAGCAGTAAGAGCACACAGGGAGCACTCAAAATAAATAAGTAGCTGCTATGTTTTTTTAGCTAGCTGTAAATGCTTCGATGCCAGTCTTTCAAGGAAGTATGACTCATATCCACAGAACAATAAAGTATTAGCTTCGTAGAAAGTGCTTAAGTTTTGACGAAGATTGTGGAAGACAGAGGTGGAGTCTCACTTTGGACTTGTTGAACTGGTTCAGGGCAAAGAGCTTAGTTTATATACATACACATTTACAAGCACAACGACAGGTGTTGAAGGACTTACACAATCCACTGTAATAACACAACGTTTACTGTGTGACGACTGAACTGATCCTGCCGCACTCTGTTTGCATGTTCTCCTGGTGCTGGGAGAATTATTGTTCTGAAAAGCTGACGACAAGAGGCAAGAAGCACCAGGGGTATTTGATTTATCTTTAGGAGACGCAGGTGGAACACATGAGGCCGAGGCAAACAGATAGAACTGGGATTTAAACTGTAGTTATGTGTGAAGCGTCTTTGAGTGTGTCCAGAAAGCGCTATTTAAAAACAATGCTTTTAGGGTCATTAATAAGATTATCTTGAACAAAACCTGATTTTAAGTATGCGTATATGATTAATGTCTATCATGTAGGCACAATCTGATAGAATCTCATTTCACTGGAGACATGTATCATTGCATTTCCTGTGTCTGCTTGATTCTCTGATCTGTGTTGGCGAATCGACGGCTTTGTAAAGTCCTCCGCGATAACTGCTGTTGTGATTCAGGGCTGTTTGGACAGAAGGGTTGGGGGGGGGGACATGTTTTTATTTTAGCATGAATGGAGCAAAAGCATTTCCGGGTCTGTTTTAGATCAGGGCTCAATGTTTTTCGACTGAGAGTTGATTTCATTTGTGACAAAATGACTGTGATTTGGCACGACGCTGCAGAATCACATGTACATTAGTCATTGAAGTTGTTGGCATGGCGACAGTTCCATAAACATTCCACAAGACGATCCTTATACAGAGACGAATGGCACGCAGAGTTTAGCAAGAAGCAAGTTTATCATCGTAATAATATATATAATACTGATATGTTTCCCATGACTAAATCAAAAGTTTCTCTCTCTCTCTGCTGCAGGGCCAGGATGGTGTCCCATAAGGAGTTTGCGAACGCCGGGAAGCAGGCGGGTCTGCAGATCTGGAGGATTGAGAACCTGGACCTGAAGCCGGTTCCCAAAGGGCTGCACGGATGCTTCTACACGGGGGACGCCTACCTCCTGCTGCACACCACCAAACCACCCTCCTACTCCATCCACATGTGGATCGGTAAGTGTGCAACTGTGTATAACTGTGTACAACTGTGTATAACTGTGTGCAACTGTGTATAACTGTGTGCAACTGTGTATAACTGTGTGCAACTGTGTATAACTGTGTGCAACTGTGTATAACTGTGTGCAACTGTGTATAACTGTGTGCAACTGTGTATAACTGTGTGCAACTGTGTATAACTGTGTGCAACTGTGTATAACTGTGTGCAACTGTGTATAACTGTGTGCAACTGTGTATAACTGTGTACAACTGTGTATAACTGTGTGCAACTGTGTATAACTGTGTGCAACTGTGTATAACTGTGTACAACTGTGTATAACTGTGTGCAACTGTGTATAACTGTGTGCAACTGTGTATAACTGTGTGCAACTGTGTATAACTGTGTACAACTGTGTATAACTGTGTACAACTGTGTATAACTGTGTACAACTGTGTATAACTGTGTGCAACTGTGTATAACTGTGTGCAACTGTGTATAACTGTGTGCAACTGTGTATAACTGTGTGCAACTGTGTATAACTGTGTACAACTGTGTATAACTGTGTACAACTGTGTATAACTGTGTACAACTGTGTACAACTGTGTATAACTGTGTACAACTGTGTATATCTGTGTATAACTGTGTATAACTGCTCTCTGTGTGTTATTATTATCACATCTTATAGAGGTTTTGCACCACAAAAAAAAATCAATTAAAAAACAAAAAGATCCAAAAGTTGTGCCCAAACCTGGTGTGAGCTGAGTGTGGTGCAGTGAGATCTGAGTCCTGGTGGTTCAGAGACACAGAGCTCAGAGAGTGCAGTCTCGGTGGTGACATGTTCCTTCCTGTTTCTCTGGCGGCTGTGGTTTTACAGTGACGTGTCCAAAGGAGATGTGCAAATGCTTTACACGAAAACACTGCCACACAGTATGTCATACAGGCTCAAGTTGCTAGGCTACCTCTTCATTCCCCAGTAATAACACTAATGCTAATACTATAATCATCTAATAATGTCAAGAACAATTCCATTTCACAATGTGACTCCAGTCATTATTTAACCCTTTAATAGTTTCCTCAGCGTTTGGTGAATCATCTTTTTTAGTTTCTATTTCTACTTGAAGCTTGGATCCCAAATCTACCTGATTGTAGTGTCTTTATCACTTTGTTTTGGGCACTTTTCCATCAAACTGCATCTCAACCAATTGGGAAAGACTTAGGCCCTGTCCACACAAAGTCAAGCTCAGGCCTAAACGCAAAAATACTTTATCAATCCAGTGTATCGTCCATACGAGGCCGGCGTTTTGGGGGGGTGTAAACGAACATTTTTGAAAGTAGGTCCCAGAGTGGAAAGATTTCAAAACTCCGTATATGCCGCTCCGTGGTTACTGCCTCTCCGCAATGTATCTGAGACGCTTGCGTCATCGCCCCGCCTCTTGTTAAAGCACGCATGCGCCGCACTCAGAAAATAATGACAACAACAATGTAGCTTGTTGGTTTTGTAATCCAGTGTGACCCGAAGCAACAGTTCAACCTCATCGTCCGTCCATACTAATGTAGTACCAGCTCGCCCACTCGCCATGTTGTCTGTTTACAAAATTCTGCGCATGCCCAGTTCCCGTCACGGAAGTTTGGGCTTGATCCCGTCATTGCGTCACAGCGCCACCAACAGGTCTGGCATAGTTTCACAGCGTTTTCAGACGTATTGACTACATTCATATGGACGCACACATTTACTGAGCTAACTCCGTGTTTACAGAAAAAGTTTCTGAAATTATAAGCGTTTTGTCTTCGTGTGGATATAGCCTTATATTTAAAAACCTCAAGTAAGGAGACTAATTTTGAGAGTTGTTTGTTTGTTTGGACACAAGTCTAAACAACTCGACAAGTTTTCACACATGTCTGCAGTCTACCTGGTGATTCTCATCTGATAGTAACTCTATACATACTACAGGTATTTGTGTTCACACATGCTAACACAACTGCACCAGAGTCTGCTCGACCTGTTGGGTATGGGCCTCAATCTGGGCCTCAGTCTGGATACATCTTGGCTCCTTCCCTGCCTGGGCCTCTCTCTGGTCCTCCATCTTGGCTCCTTCCCTGCCTGGGCCTCTCTCTGGGCCTCTCTCTGGTCCTCCATCTTGGCTCCTTCCCTGCCTGGTCGTCTCTCCGGTCCTCCATCTTGCCTCCTTCCCTGCCTGGGCCTCTCTCTGGGCCTCTCTCTGGTCCTCCATCGTGGCTCCTTCCCTGCCTGGGCCTCTCTCTGGGCCTCTCTCTGGTCCTCCATCGTGGCTCCTTCCCTGCCTGGGCCTCTCTCTGGGCCTCTCTCTGGTCCTCCATCGTGGCTCCTTCCCTGCCTGGGCCTCTCTCTGGGCCTTTCTCTGGTCCTCCATCGTGGCTTCTTCCCTGCCTGGGCCTCTGCAGAGTCTGTAATCCTTAAACATGGCAGAGGTTCCCAGCCGTCTCTGTGATTATGTAACAAGACCGAGACCAAACATGAGAAATCCTTTTCAAGAGACACACGAGAGCAGCCTCTGCAGACTCTGGGAACAGAGCGGAAAGAGTTATACCAATCTTTTTCCCACATTGTAACACACAACACACGACAAACGACACACAACACACGACATACTACACACAACAATGATATGCAATAGTAAGAAAGCCTGTTCCTCTGTCTACTAAAGTTAGGATCTGATTTGACGTAGCAACACTGCATGAAGCCCATCAGACACACACACATCCATAAATAAATAAATAAGATAAATAAAAAATAAAATAATAATAATAATAATAATAATAATAATAACTAAAATAAAATCAATAAAATCAATAAAATAAAATAAATAAATAAATAAATAAAATCAATAAAATAAAATAAAAATAAAATAAATAAGATAAATAAACAATTAAAAAAATTTAATTAGATAAATAATAATGGAAATAATGAATAAACTAAAATTCCATTCAATTCAATTAAAAAAATAAAAATAGAAAATTCACTAAAATCACTAATTAGCTTTGATCCAGGATGACTTTGATCCTGGAGCCGACAGCCTCATAAAACACTGTATCTGAGCTGAACACTGGCCTTTGTGATATTGTTTTTTTTTAAATAATTGATCATAAATGTCATGTTTTTTATATAAACATGAAACATCCATGGCAGGTTCAACAGTGTTCGGTCGAGGGGTTGTAAATACACAGATTAGCACGGATATGAAAAAACAAGAAGAAATTTGTACCATCGTTGAATACAATACAAGAGAAAATAAAAGGGAAAAGGCCTGTTTAGTGGCAACATTTTAATATATACAATTATTCAAAACAGTAGGATTCAGGGAGGATGTAAAGTGTCCAACCTGGTCCTCATTGGTTTGAACAGAAAATGGAACTAAACGCAGAAATGCTCCTTGTTTAGAAACCCAGTTGTTTTCATAATAATTCTCGGAGTGTGGAGAGAGCTGAGGTTTTTCCACAGCTGCTGGAGTGACTCACGTCTGACTCACGGGTCTTCGCTGCCACTTTCTGAAATGAGTGAAGACTTGCCTGTTTTATAATCGTGCTGAAGAAGCTGCACATGGGACTGGATCTGAATTTCACTTCATTCAGAAACTCGTCAAATTAAACTAAGAAAACTAATTCCTACAAATATCCTTAAACCTATTGAAAACAGTAGACGGGGCTGGAGTGCTTCTTGGATGTAAAAATTAAATGAGGAAAAAAGTAAACTTTTGGTGCTCTTCAGTGGAGGGACCAATGTTGATAGTTCAGACAGAAGACTGGATATATACTTTAAAAGCCACTCAATTCCCAGGCTTAAATGGGGAGTTGGACTATTCTCCTTTTCTTTAAAGAACGACTAAACACCTGTGCCCAGCCTGACTCCGCCCACATGAAGATTTGAAAATGTTCTCTAAAAAGGGCGTTGCCTGGAGGACTAAGGGACAAGAAGGGGGGCTTAGAGTTGGGCGTGGTCTGGGCTGTGATTGACAGCTCACGTGTCACACAAAAAAACAGACAGTTGTCATTGCTGCTTAAAGCAATAGTTTACAGACCAGAAAGTCTCATTCCACCCTTGTTTACACACTAAGATAATTGTAAAGCTACACACCTGAACCTAATCACACTCAATAATCTCAGAATGACTCGTGTAATTTAATTTGAATCCACTCGATGGCGCCAGAATACTCCAAACTGCAGCTGGGGCGTGTGTGAGAGTTGAATGGGTTCACATCACTGGCTCTGACAGACTGACGTCACACAAAACAACTGATGTCATAGAGAACTTCAGAGTCAATGGAGAGGCCAGAACCAAATTCAAATGTAGTACCACCAAAAAGGTGGAGAGGGCGCCACACAGCGTTTTTTGGCTCAAAAGTGATATTTTATCTAATTTGAACTAGAATGTCACAAAATGACCAGGATATGTAGAGAGCACTACAATAAACATATTTATGGAGTTTATGAGTTGAAAAAAGTTGATTTGGTGTTTAGTCGCTCTTTAAGTACTTTTCAAAAAAGACCATTGATTATATTTCTTATATATTGTATTCTTTATAGGTGTGTTCATAATATTATGCACTTTGTTTGGGAGTTTCAATATTTTTTCCAGATTTTAAACCTTGTGACTGTAGGCCCGCCCACTGACCATGTGACAAGCACCATTCTCTTTAAAGGTCCTATATCACGCTTTTCTTCATGTTTCACACTCAGTCCTCTGCACATGTGTGATATTAATGTGTATGATACACCACACAACAATCAAAGCTTGTGAGATTAGAGCCATCTCTTGTATAGAGGTGACGTCACCTCGACTCAAACGAGCTGATCCAGAGAAGAGTCTGCTCCTCTGTCTGTGAGCCCGCCTCCCCCCGCCCGCACGGTGACGTAGCATCACGCTTTTGTCGTTTATCACCTGTACTTAGTAATTTCATACATAAGAATAAACTTTTTCCAACAATGACAATCCGTCACATCGAGCCCTATGTCCTCGATGCACAATCAGACCCTAGTTATTTAGTTTACAGAAGTATACAGCGAGTTAGCGTCACTACTTACAGATCGAGGGGGTCCGAGTTACGTCTTTTACTGTGGGAATAACGTGTTTCCAGATCAGCCTTTGAGTAAGTCCAGTTCCATTGTCCCTGTAGTTCTGGAACAGTCTCAGTGAAGTGTCGCAGATGAACCGGTATTATAATAGATCCATGAGATGAACAGATGAAAAAAGTCGAGCCGCTTTCTTCCTCTTAGGGCCAAATAGTGCGTCACATATTTACACCCATAACACACTTCATTCAAGTTGACGTGATCCTAACACTTTTAGTTGCTGACAAAAGCATAAAAACAGCAGCTCTATGTGGTGTCCGCGAGACCAGACCACAGACGCTGGACTCGGGAGCCGGAGCCTGTGCGCTCTGATTTGCTGTTTTGATCCGTCAATCACCTCCCGCCGGCTTTTAATTTATTTATATTTTTATTATTTTTGACAAAAAAACAGCATATTAATTGTGTATTGTTTACCCCGTTTTGACAAAAGTATTTAACAACTATTTTAAATACAAAGCAAACGGGGTCATGCGCGTCATCAGTGTGGTTTTCGTCACTGAAGTGGACCCAAGCGTTTCTGTGCCTCACGCTGGGGAAGGAGACAGATTGTTCTCTTACAAAAGATTGACAGAATCAATGAATAAACTACTGTGGGCTTGTGTATGAAGGCCAAATAGCATTGTAATTATGTTTAAAGTAGAGAAAAGTCAAAAACCGTGATATGGGCCCTTTAAATCTGTACTGAGACACTCCTCTCGAGTATGCCCTGAAGAAGGCCAGAACGCTGAAACGCGTAGGCGTATTTTAACCTCTTTTTGCCATGTCAAATAAAGGCTTTTAAAGATTTTTGTAACTTTTGAGTGCCTCAGTCTTCTGTCTGAACTATCCTTAAACCTATACAATACAATACATCTCTCTGGTCCTCTCTCTGGTCCTCTATCTGGTCCTCTCTCTGGTCCTCTCTTTGGTCCTCTCTCTGGTCCTCTATCTGGGCCTCTATCTGGTCCTCTCTCTGGTCCTCTCTCTGGTCCTCTCTCTGGTCCTCTCTCTGGTCCTCTCTCTGGTCCTCTCTCTGGTCCTCTCTTTGGTCCTCTCTTTGGTCCTCTATCTGGTCCTCTCTCTGGTCCTCTCTCTGGTCCTCTCTCTGGTCCTCTATCTGGTCCTCTCTCTGGTCTCTCTTTGGTCCTCTCTCTGGTCCTCTATCTGGGCCTCTATCTGGTCCTCTCTCTGGTCCTCTCTCTGGTCCTCTCTCTGGTCCTCTCTCTGGGCCTCGATCTGATCCTCTCTCTGGTCCTCTCTCTCTCTCTGGGCCTCTATCTGGTCCTCTCTCTTGTCCTCTCTCTGGTCCTCTCTCTGGTCCTCTATCTGGTCTCTCTTTCTGGTCCTCTCTCTCTCTCTGGGCCTCTATCTGGTCCTCTCTCTTGTCCTCTCTCTTATCCTCTCTCTGGTCTCTCTCTGGTCTCTCTCTGGTCTCTCTCTGGTCTCTCTCTGGCCTCTATCTAGTCCTCTCTCTGGTCTCTCTCCAGTCTCTCTCTGGTCTCTCTGGTCTCTCTCTGGTCTCTCTCTGGCCTCTATCTGGTCTCTCTGGTCTCTCTCCAGTCTCTCTGGTCTCTCTCTGGTCTCTCTCTGGTCTCTCTCTGGTCTCTCTCTGGCCTCTATCTGGTCTCTCTCTGGTCTCTCTCTGGTCTCTCTCCAGTCTCTCTCCGGTCTGTCTCTGGGTCTCGGTCTCTCTTCGGTCTTCCTGGTATGTAATGTGCGCTACAGATGTCCACAAACATTTCTTACGTGGCTCGACTTTCACAGAAACAGCAGATTTCTTTGACCCTGATTCTTCTCTGATTGAACTGTTGGATATTTAGGATTCGTTTTGGACATTGGTCTCTGCTCCTTTTGAAACAATCCATCTGTGTTTCTATCATTGCATTTGATTTGATTCTCTGCTCTCTCTATTTGGTCTCTCTCTGGTCTTTCTCTCTGGTCTTTCTCTCTGGTCTCTCTCTGGTCTCTCTCTGGTCTCTCTCTGGTCTCTCTCTGGTCTTTCTCTCTGGTCTCTCCCTGGTCTCTCTCTGGTCTCTCTCTGGTCTCTCTGGTCTCTCTCTGGTCTCTCTCTGGTCTCTCTCTGGTCTCTCTCTGGTCTCTCTCTGGTCTCTCTTTGGTCTCTCTTTGGTCTCTCTCTGGTCTCTCTCTGGTCTCTCTGTGGTCTCTCTCTGGTCTCTCTCTGGTCTCTCTCTGGTCTCTCTCTGGTCTCTCTCTGGTCTCTCCCTGGTCTCTCCCTGGTCTCTCCCTGGTCTCTCCCTGGTCTCTCCCTGGTCTCTCCCTGGTCTCTCCCTGGTCTCTCCCTGGTCTCTCTGGTCTCTCTCTGGTCTCTCTCTGGTCTCTCTCTCTGGTCTCTCTCTCTGGTCTCTCTCTCTGGTCTCTCTCTCTGGTCTCTCTCTCTGGTCTCTCTCTGGTCTCTCTCTGGTCTCTCTCTCTGGTCTCTCTCTGGTCTCTCTCTGGTCTCCCTCTGGTCTCCCTCTGGTCTCTCTCTGGTCTCTCTCTCTGGTCTCTCTCTGGTCTCTCTCTGGTCTCCCCCTGGTCTCTCTCTGGTCTCCCTCTGGTCTCTCTCTGGTTTCTCTCACTTCAGTCGTGAGTTGATGTGGTTAGAAAAGTGTATAGTGTGAGGGTTTTTCTTGCCTTTGAACGTCGAGCTATTATTGAGAGGGTTTCTCTTTTAAACGAGAGACCACTGTTTTCTGAAATGTGAATGTTTTTTTTGTTTCAGGGGATGAGTGCTCCCAGGACGAGAGAGGCGCGGCGGCCATCTTTGCCATGCAGCTGGACGACTTCCTGGGGGGAAGCCCGGTCCAGTTCAGGGAGGTCCAAAACTGTGAGTCCAAGGCCTTCCTTGGATACTTCAAGTCTGGCCTCAAATACCAGGTACTACAGCTGCACACGTCACATGATCTGTACCATGAAAGAAAATGTACTCTCCGGTCTCTCTCTGGTCTCTCTCTGGTCTCTCACTGGTCTCTGTCTGGTCTCTCCCACTTGTCTCTCACTGGTCTCTCTCTGGTCTCCCACTGGTCTCTCACTGGTGTCTCTCTGGTCTCTCTCTGGTCTCTCTCTAGTCTCCCTCTGGTCTCTCTCTGGTCTCTCTCTGGTCTCTCTCTGGCCTCTCTCTCCCGGTCTCTCTCTGGTCTCTCCCTGGTCTCCCTCTGGTCTCTCACTGGTGTCTCTCTGGTCTCTCTCTGGTCTCTCTCTGGTCTCTCTCTCTGGTCACTCTCTGGTCTCTCTCTGGTCTCTCTCTGGTCTCTCTCTGGCCTCTCTCTCCCGGTCTCTCTCTGGTCTCTCCCTGGTCTCCCACTGGTCTCTCACTGGTGTCTCTCTGGTCTCTCGCTGGTCTCTCTCTCTGGTCTCTCTCTCTGGTCTCTCTCTAGTCTCTCTCTGGTCTCTCTCTGGCCTCTCTCTCCCGGTCTCTCTCTGGTCTCTCCCTGGTCTCTCTCTGGTCTCTCTCTGGTCTCTCTCTGGTCTCTCTCTGATCTCTAACTGGTCTCTCTCTGATCTCTCCCTGGTCTCTCTCTGGAGGATTATACCTATGGTTCATATTCTGGGTGTTGGGGGAAACCGGTGCGCCCGAAGGAAATCCTCCCAGACACAGTTAGAAACATACAAACTCCACGCAGAAAGGCTCTTGCTGTGAGGCGTGAGTGAAGCGTCACACCCGCTGTTTGCGGATTGGTTTATTTCTCTGTCACTCTATCTGTATTTGCCCCGCCCCCTTCACACTGCCTCTGTGACTGCCTGCCCAGAATCTCTTTAACTGTCTTTATAAAGCTAGTTTGCTCTCTGCACATTCTGCCACAATGCATGTTGGGAGTCCTGCTTTGGAGACGCCATTTTGTACGATATGTAATGAAAAATAGATAGATTTATTTTGTTACCATCTGTAGTAGTTAATAAAAGCCACTCGCAGACATCAAAAGTAGACATTAGACACTGCGGTTCAGGAAAAGTAAGTATTGAGTCAAAATAAAGTCGCAGATGCAAATAATGAGCTACTTTCCACAAACGCTGGTTTTTCCAGATTTTGTCTCTCTGTTCCACAAGTGTTTAATTTCTCTACTGTTGTTATGGAAGAACGAGAAGATGGGACCATTTGAAACGCAGTTGTATCAATTGTTGTTGGATTGAAATTTCCGACGTTCACATTTTTTGCCCACACACACACAAACACGCCTTTAACATAACCCCAAGTGTGGCCCAGGTTCACCCAGACTTGAGTTAGAGACCCCTGCTTTGAAACCAACCTCTCCTACACTTCTGACCTCAAGTCGTCTCCATGTGGTTAATAATCATCTTGAATCAGGATATCGTTCTGAACTAATGATTCCAAAGTCCCTTCAATTCCCTGCTGCTTTCTTCTTCCTTGTGGGCATGTCTCCTGGCGTTACCGTGGCAACGCCTGCATCGACTGATTTAACCCCAGCTTGTTGACATCTGCTTCCCATTGCCGTGTAGCCAAACGGCACAGCTCTGGTTCGAGTTTGGGATAATTATGCCCTCAAGACTTGTTTACGGCGGACTGGAGAGGAGCAGTTTCAGAGTTTGGGTCAGAATCTGGGAGAGTTTCCATGGAAAAGTTTATGAGGCGGATGGAATGAGAGTGGGTTCAATGTTAACTGGAGCTAACAATACACGGACAAAGGACAATACGCCACTGTATTTTCCACTGGTTTTCTGCAGAAATCGTTCAATAAAGTCAAAGTGATGCAAACATCGGACGTTCAACCAACTTTAGAGAATAGACTTTAAAGCAACTCTCTGCAAGTACATCTGAGACATGTTAGTGCCATATGAACCAACTCAGAGGAGCACAGGGACTGGCCTCCTGCTGGGACTCTGAGGAGCACAGGGACGGGCCTCCTGCTGGACTCTGAGGAGCACAGGGACTGGCCTCCTGCTGGGACTCTGAGGAGCACAGGGACGGGCCTCCTGCTGGACTCTGAGGAGCACAGGGACTGGCCTCCTGCTGGACTCTGAGGAGCACAGGGACTGGCCTCCTGCTGGACTCTGAGGAGCACAGGGACTGGCCTCCTGCTGGGACTCTGAGGAGCACAGGGACTGGCCTCCTGCTGGACTCTGAGGAGCACAGGGACTGGCCTCCTGCTGGACTCTGAGGAGCACAGGGACTGGCCTCCTGCTGGGACTCTGAGGAGCACAGGGACTGGCCTCCTGCTGGACTCTGAGGAGCACAGGGACTGGCCTCCTGCTGGGACTCTGAGGAGCACAGGGACTGGCCTCCTACTGGACTCTGAGGAGCACAGGGACTGGCCTCGTGCTGGTCCCAGAGTCAAGACTAAACATGAGGAGGCAACATTTCAGATCCATGCAGCTAAAATCTGGAAAAGTCTTCCTGAAAATGTGAGAAACTTGTATAGAAATTGAATTGAAATGAATGCATTTAGGAAGATTATTATTTTTTGACTTTGTTACAAACCTGATATGTTGAATGAATCCTCCTTTCACTATTATCATGTTCAGAGCCGTTTAAAAACCATTAAAACCAAAAATATTGCCTCTAAATTCACTCAGGCGCTTTCCCAGGTAAAGAGATTTAACACCTCCCTCTGGTGTCAAAAGTGGGGAATTACATGCTGAGAAAATCTTTAATCCTTTAAACATGCTTTTTATAAATATTCTTTTTTAAGTTTTCATAGTTTAGACAGAAAGGATACAGAACATTTATAGAGCAGAGAGGGACCGACAACTACCAAATGACTTCTGTACAGACAAATTGTATCAAGATCAGCAATTATTTACATTTAGATTTTTTGCCTTGGTGGGTTAGGGTTTTTTATTTTATTTATTAATTTAATGTATTTATTTATTCACAAGCATTAGTTAAATCCACATTTTTTACACTTAAACATGTAGGTTTGTGAAGGAACTCCCAAGAAGCACAACTTGGCTTATATTCACAAAATCAGTGCCTTTATACTTTATACATAAGAAAGTCATTTGTTGGGAGTAGTCGGCTCTTGTGTGTGATTGTGGCAGAGAAAGTCACACGTTCCGTTCTTTGACGACGCTGTTGTTGTGTTTGCTGCTTCATGAGGAGGGAACTCAGAGAGACACACTCAGACTGAAGGTACAGCTGCCCCAAGGCCCCCTCATGGACTCCCTCTGTGGACACTGGAGCTCCACCTGTGTCTGTATCACCTCCCATCTCTCCCCTTTCCTCTCGCCCAGTGGGTACCAACCAAACCTCACCCCCTTTTTAACCACAGTGGCAAAGAATATTGAAATTATACTTAGTAACAGATGCTATATTTGTCCCACAGCGGGGAAATTCCAGTATTGCATCACAAGTTAAAGAACAGAAGGACTAGGGAGCACACAGGACAAGATAAAAGAACAGTAACCATAGTAATTAAAATAAAACATAATCTCTAACTCTCGCATCAAAGAAACAAGTATAACATCTTTAACATAGTAAAGAAGTATAAAATAGCCAAATTGGTACAAAAATAGCTAAATTGGGACATTCATATTGTTATTCTGTCTTATTATTATGCTTGAGGCGGAGATTTTGTACGTAATTCTTGCTTCTTCATTATGGGGAAGCTAAGTAATAACACTTTTATGTGCTCTGTAGAAAGATTAACATTTTGTCATTGTCTTTCTGTTGCCGTGCGTAACCTAATGTAACTACGGTTCTATGAATATGTTGCAACGCTTAAAGGACTGAAGCAACATATGAAATAGAATCCTACTTTTGAAATAGTTTTAGACTAATAAGACCTTGAGTGGTGACTGGTTCAGTTTTCGGTGTCTGAGGTTAAGGTTAGGGTTAAGGGTGGGTTGGGGTTATTCTATGGGAATGGCTGGTTAATTATAGCCATGGATCTATTAGTTTAGGTTGTTGGTTATATTTACTTCTGCTCCCGCCCCGATTCCGTATGTGAACTAGTGCCGACCGAAATGGTACCTTCACATCGAAACAGAAAATGGTACCTTCAAAATAAAATCCCTGAACTCAATCGGACGTTAGCCATAGCTGAAATGAAATCAGAAATACTTGGTTATTTACAAACTCGGGCCGGCTCATCCCGCTGAAAGTCCCAAACCCTTGAACAGAATTGTGTTTGTGCAGTTTTCCTTCAGTCTCTCCTCATCCCTCGACCGTCGACACGTTTGTAACATGATGATAATGTTTATTAATGTGTATTTCAGAAAGGGGGCGTGGCCTCAGGCTTCCAGCACGTCATCACCAACGACGCCAACGTGAAGAGGCTGCTCCACGTCAAAGGGCGGCGTGTGATCCGGGCCACAGAGGTGGACCTGACCTGGACCAGCTTCAACCAGGGCGACTGCTTCATCCTGGACCTGGGGAAGGTACAAACACAAACATGACCAGAACTGTATGATTCACTAACAGCAGAGTCTGGTCTTACCTTACCATCATACTCTCTTCATTTGTACTAAGGTCTGGATTTGCTCCATTGACTCTGTTAACAGGTGGGAGGGGCTAACTCCTTTTGCAGATTGAAACCATTGGATCTGTGTTTATTGTGACGTTTGTAATGAGCCCGATTGAGTGAGGCATTTAGCATTTAGCCTAGCTTTAGCATTTAGCTTAGCTTTAGCCATCTCCTTTGCCGCTAACGGAGCCCGTGGGGAGTAGAGCCACAACATCTTTGCTTCAATGACATTTACTAAACATTCCTCTTGCTCCGGCTTCAGTTTCTTGATATTTGGATTGAACCAGAACAGATTATTTTACTATCGCATTCTCCGACGAACTACAACCAGTAACTTCAGCACAAACTCTTGACGTCACCGACACCAATCTACAACACCCGCCTCCCCCGCTCTCTGATTGGTCGGAGGGGATTCAACCGAGGAAACTGCAGCCACTAGGATCAGACCCAGACAATGAACGGAAATGACCATGGACCAGAGTTTACACATGGTAAGACCAGACATACATGTAGGAGATGATCATGGACCAGCGTTTACACATGGTAAGACCAGACGTACATGTAGGAGATGATCATGGACCAGAGTTTACACATGGTAAGACCAGACGTACATGTAGGAAATGATCATGGACCAGAGTTTACACATGGTAAGACCAGACGTACATGTAGGAAATGATCATGGACCAGAGTTTACACATGGTAAGACCAGACGTACATGTAGGAAATGATCATGGACCGCAGTTTACGGATAGTTAAGACCAGGCTACATTTTATGTGGTTTTTATTCATATGTGGAGAACTCCTAAGTGCCGATGGTGGCAGAGAGCACGTTTTGTGTTTTAACTCCGTCTAATGACCTGATATGGAAGAAAAACACTAATCAGGTTGTCAACTTTAGGACTCTCAGAATTCTGAAACTATTAGAACTCCTAGAGACGTCATTTTCAAAACCTGTCTTGTGCACACTGGGGACTTTTGCAGATGTATTCCAATGGGGTTTTACTGCAAATGGCAAATTAATGAATCTGAAGTTGAATTTTGACTGCTCCCTTTCAAACCAATGACATTTTGTAGTAAGTAATGGTAATAAGTAATGTCTACTGTGCTCTACTGGTTAATATAACTTGAAATAGACAAAATAACATGTTTTCCATTGAGCTAGCAGGTTAGCTTTGTCCGTTTGTACACAGTCTGTGGTTAAGCATGATAGATATTATAAACACAACCATACTCAGATTCAGATTCAGATTCATTTATTTGCCATTTGCAGTAAAACCACATTGGAAAAACTGTGCAAGACTACCCCAGTGTGCACCAGACGACACACACCAGAGCTCTTGCCACGGCGCCATCTTTACGGCGCCATGCGACAAACAGTAGAATAAACAGCAGAGAGCAATAACATACAGTTTCACAGACAATTGGATAGACACGTTATGCTTTGTATAAACCACGGATTTTTTTCTCGGGATGAGCACCTCCGACTGCCGGCCCAATGTGGCTGTCAGAGGGGGGCGGGGTCAGGGAGGGGGTGAGTCGGAAACACAATAACAGATATTATAAACACAACCATACTCTATACCCTGACACCAAGTCATTTCAGTGATTATGGTGCCGCCCGGTCCCGACTCGTGATCATGTGACTTGTCTCTGTCCAGGACGTGTACCAGTGGTGCGGCAGCGACTGTAACCGCTACGAGAGGCTGAAGGCGTCGGAGGTCGCCATCGATATCCGCGACAACGAGAGGAACGGCCGAGCCAAGATTCACCTGGTGGAGGAGGGCGACGAGCCGGACGCTTTCTCTCAGGTCAATACTCAATTATATAATACATAAAAAACGCAAATGTACTGGTCTGAGCTTTTAAAATTGTTACAAAACTGGGTGTAACTTTAGATTAACCGTCACTAATAACAGCTAATTAAGTGCTAATTAGTTTACCTTAACCATAACCCTAACCCTAGGGTTTTGGGACAGTGTTGGTTGGTAGTTAGTTAGATGTTGAAAAAGGACTAATAAATGCATAACAAATACCAATTAAGAGCAAATTAACTATATATTATACATTTATTAACTTCTGGCACCACCAGCGTGTAGCTCCGCCCCTTCTGTCAAAAAAGCTCCTGTCCCAGTTCTGTAATAGTATGATGTCATTGTGCCATTATGACTTTTAAAGAAAAAATACTGCCCATAAATTAGTTAGGGCAATCTCTGGATGAAATTACGTTCTTTATAATCACATGGCAGTCAAAACAAACTCAACCCCTCCCTCTGGTGGCTGCTAAAGTGTAGTGCAGGCCAATAGCATTGTTTAACCTTGAGACCCTTGTTTCCCCAGATATTGTCTATTTAAGATAATATTTCACATTCTATTCATTTTTAGTCTTAAGGAGACTGCACAGTCGTATTTAAGACAAAACTCTTCTGTGTTATTAGGGTTCATTGACGCATCCAAGGCCTTTTATCGCGTGAACCACTGTAGGCTTTTTGGAAAACTAAAAGAGAGGAATGTGCCTGATAGCATAATAAGAATATTGACCTCCTGGTATTCTAATCAGCAGATGCAGGTGAAGTGGGGTAATACCATCTCAGCTGCCTTTGGCGTCAGTAACGGAGTGCGTCAGGGCGGGCTGTTGTCCCCTCTCCTGTTTAACCTGTACATGGATGACCTGTCCCAGTGTTTGAATGGCTGTAGAACTGGTTGCATGATCGGTGACACACTGGTCAACCATTTCATGTATGCCGATGATTTGGCCATTCTTTCTCCGAGTAGTGCTGGCTTTCAGCAGCTTTTGAATGTATGCTCTGATTATGGGGTCAAGCATGATATTCAATATAATGCCAAAAAGAGCGCTGTACTAATCAGCCGCACCAAAGGGGACAAACATCTTTGTTTTCCAGACTTTTACTTATCTGGTCAAAAGCTGGGTGTTTGCAGCAAAATTAAATACTTGGGTCACATCATAACTGACCGACTCTGTGATGATGATGACATTAATCGCCAGTGTCGTAAACTGTACGCTCAAGCCAACACCTTAGTGTGGGAATTTCACATGTGCACAGTCGGTGTTAAAATTAAACTGTTTAAAATGTACTGTTCACCTCTGTATACAGCTCCACTGTGGAGCAGATTATACTGTATATAAAGTACCTCTGTATACAGCTCCACTGTGGAGCAGATTATACTGTATATAAAGTACCTCTGTATACAGCTCCACTGTGGAGCAGATTATACTGTATATAAAGTACCTCTGTATACAGCTCCACTGTGGAGCAGATTATACTGTATATAAAGTACCTCTGTATACAGCTCCACTGTGGAGCAGATTATACTGTATATAAAGTACCTCTGTATACAGCTCCACTGTGGAGCAGATTATACTGTATACAAAGTACCTCTGTATACAGCTCCACTGTGGAGCAGATATAAGAAGGCTGCACTACAGAAGCTCAAAGTTGCATATAATGATGCTTTCAGGATTCTGCTGAAAAAGCCCAGGTCCAGTAGTGCTAGTCTGCTGTTCTGTCAGAGTCGTGTGAACTCTTTCCATGCTCTCATGAGAAATATGATGTACAGGTTTATATGCCGTCTGAATGTCAGTGAGAACTATTTTGTGCGGTCTCTGGTGAACCCCAGTATGAGTTCTGTGCGCTACCAGTCAGCTCTGTGGAAGCTCTGGTACAGTTTTCTTTTATAACTGTTTGTCTGTTGTGTTTGTGATGTGTTTGTTTGTTTTTTATGGACTTCGAGTCTGATAAATAAAGATAATAAATTCTATAACATGGAATGACAAAGTAAAAAGCCTCATTATTATGTCTAATGGGCACAGATAATGCATTATATTTTGTCTTTTAAATTCAGATTATAATTTCCAGGACTGCCTAGAAAAGGAGGTTCTTAATCTCAATGGGACCTCCCTGGCAAAATGAAGGATAAATAAATAAATAAAAAATAGAAAAATAACCCATAATTGCCTTACAAGGAGACTGTGGTTATGTTTCTACAATGTGATTCTAAAGTTTTTAAAAGTGCTGTGTGTGACCACTGTTATTGTCTGGTCAACGTATGGATTATATAAGTGCTCCGTCTAATTATTTTATTGTTTAATTATTGCTAAAAGTAGGAAAATTGTGACTTATTTTTCATGACTTTTTGCAGTGTATTTATGTTGAATAAGGCCCTGTAGAATAAGGACTAATACATAATGCATAATAAATACCGACTGAGAGTAAATTAACCATACATTATTCACTAATAAGGTGTTAATTAATGAGGGCTTCACATAAAAATATTGTTTTATTGTTTGATTGCCTGAATGAGTGATTTTTATAGTAAAGCACTTTGGTCGAGGGTTGTAAAGGCCTTGATTGATTGAATTTGACCAAAATAAAAACAGAAATAAACACAAGTTCAGGATAAAAAATATGAATAATTAAAATCAGTACAAAAAATGTGGCTTTTTGATAGTCCAACTGTTCCATGTGGCCTGTACTTTCTTTGGCGCCGTGTTTTCTGACCACAGACTATTCCAAAAACACAATGTCCACAAAGGTCATCACCCACTGACGGCGAGAAAGTGAGTCGGAAAACCCTCTCCGACAGAACAATGAGCCTAAAGATAAAGCGACAATGGAATAATTGATATAAAAATAAATCATATTCTTGTGTCATGTGTTAGATTGTCTCAGTCTAAATTATATTCTGGGAAAAGATCTGTCTCTGCTGTTCACAAACACTCATCTCATTTTTAGATTTAGATTTTTTAGTCGTCCCACAGCGGGGAAATTCCAGGGTTCCTCAATTACAGAACAGTAGGAATGAGGAGCATATAGCACAAGATACATGAACAATAACTCTGTACTAAAATAGAATAAAATGACAACCTGTATCTTAAATGAGCAGTATGTAAACATGTGGCCAAAAGTGGTACTGCAGCCTCTCCCACTCTCCCTGACTCAGGTTGCCAGATATACAGACGAATCCAGCTGGGACCATAACAGCTGAATAGACAAGAGTTTTGTCAACAACAAATCTATAACCAACACCTTTTTCACAAAGATAGAAATCCTGCTTTTATTCTTTGTTTTGTCGTTAATGATTTGAGAATCATAACAAGACCTTTTTTAGTTCTGCGCCACATGGTACTTTACCAGTGAGATTAGCTCGGCACGGTGCAGTTCTGGCGTCCGGATCACAGACTTTCTGATTGGTGAAACGGTGGAGGGCCAGACTTAAAAATGAAAACAATATTTAGAAATTGTAAAACAATATTTAGAAGTTCAAATATCTCTGAACTACTGTTATCAGTTAAAGAAGTATTGGAAAAGAGCATGTTTTATTAATGCCTTTGGACAGATTAGGGCCCTTTAATGATGACTTGACATGAAAATCTTACATATTGCTACATGTATAAAATGTCTGATTTTCGCATAATAAAGAAGTAAGTATAAAATCTCCTGTTCATGTTAGCAGCATAAGGGCATAATGGGTAAAACTTTCAGTCTCTAGATGTGCAAAGCGAGACATACCCCAAAAGACTTGCTGGGGGAAGGTGCCATGTGGCCTCACTTCACGGTTCCATGTCGTAAAAAGAAACCCTCTTCTGTTCCAGGTGTTGGGAGCTAAGACCAGAATCGCTCCAGCTTCACCTGATGATGAGAAAGTGGATGTGTCCAACAGGAAGAAGGGCGCCCTCTACATGGTGAGGAGGACACAGAGAGAGAGAGCAGAGACCTGTGGGACCAGAGAGAGAGACCAGAGGGAGACCAGACAGAGACCAAACAGAGACCAGAGAGAGAGGCCAGAGAGAGAGACCAGAGAGAGACCAGAGAGAGGGACCAGAGAGAGACCAGACAAAGACCAGAGAGAGACTAGAGAGAGAGAGACCAGAGAGAGGGACCACAGAGAGACCAGACAGAGACCAGAGAGAGACTAGAGAGAGAGAGACCAGAAAGAGGGACCACAGAGAGACCAGACAAAGACCAGAGAGAGACTAGAGAGAGAGAGACCAGAGAGAAAGACCAGACAGAGACCAGAGAGAGACCAGAGAGAGACCAGAGAGAGACCAGACAGAGAGGCCAGAGAGAGAGAGGCCAGAGAGAGAGACCAGAGAGAGGGACCAGAGAGAGACCAGAGAGAGGGACCAGATAGAGACCAGAGAGAGACCAGACAGAGACCAGAGAGAAAGACCAGACAGAGACCAGAGCGAGAGACCAGAGAGAGACTAGAGAGAGAGAGACCAGAGAAAGACCAGAGAGAGACTAGAGAGAGAGAGAGAGAGACCAGAGAGGGACCAGAGAGAGACCAGAGAGAAAGACCAGACAGAGACCAGAGAGAGAGACCAGAGAGAGACTAGAGAGAGACTAGACCAGAGAGAGACTAGAGAGAGAGACCAGAGAAAGACCAGAGAGAATAATCAATGACTCTTCTGGCCCCTGGAAAAGCCATATTCCAGCTTCTTCCCTCTGGCAGAAGACATCGTTCTCTGAGATGTGTTTGTGGATTTGTTTCACAGTACTCCTGTACTGGTCTGGTGCTCACTGGGGACTCTTGCACGTGTATTCCAATGTGGTTTTACTGCAAATGGCAAATAATCTGACTCTGTTCCCTGACCCCTCTCCTCTGTCGTCCTGCAGATCTCTGATGCCTCTGGGTCCATGACGGTGTCGGCTGTGGCTCCGTCCAGTCCCTTCAAACAGGCCATGCTCTCTGCGGAGGAGTGCTACATCCTGGACAACGGAGTGGACCGGAACATCTTTGTGTGGAAAGGTCCGCCACAAGTCACCTCCACATTTTCACACAGAGACTCAGCTTTAAAAATCTCAATCACAACACATTTTTCCATATATTTAAATATCGGGCTGGACTTGCATTGCTTGGTTCTACAGAGGGACTTTTGGAGAAAATAAAGTACCTCCAGACTTTTGAATTTGTTATTGCTATTGTTATGTTTGATGCAGAATTGGACCAAATTGAGACATAGTAAAGATTTAGATTAAGACAGGCTTTTTTCGTCCCACAGCGGGGAAATTTCAGTGTTATATCACAAAGTTACAGAATAGTAGGAATGAAGAGCACACAACACAAGCTAAATGAACAATAACTCTACTAATTAAAGTAAAACAAAATCTCTAAAAATAGCATCAAAGAAACAAGTATAAAAACTATCTTTATCAAAACTACTTTAAGATACTGCACTACTTCTGTTTATGTTTTATAATGTGTATAAAACATAAACAGTATCCCACACACTTACCTTAAAGGAGCAGTATGTACAAATGTGGCCAAAAGTGGTACTGCAGCCTCTCCCACTCTCCCTGACTCAGGTTGCCAGATATGCAGATGAATCCAGCTGGGACCATAACAGCTGAATAGACAAGAGTTTTGTCAACAACAAATCTATAACCAACACCTTTTTCACAAAGATAGAAATCCTGGTTTTATTCCTCGTTTTGTCGTTAATGATTTGAGAATTATAACGAGACCTTTGTTAGTTCTGCGCCACATGGTACTTTACCAGTGAGATTAGCTCCACGCGGTGAGTTCTGGCGCCCGGATCACAGACTTTCTGATTGGTGAAACGGTGGAGGGCGGGACATCAAAATGAAAACAATAACAAGATTTAGAGGCTCAAAAACTGATATCGAAATCCAAATATCTCTGAACTACTGTTATCAGTTAAAGAAGTATTGGAAAAGAACATGTTTTATTAATGCCTTTGGACAGATTAGGGCCCTTTAATGATGACAAATTAGGGCCCTTTAATGATGACAGATTAGGGCCCTATAATGATGACAGATTAGGGCCCTTTAATGATGACAGATTAGGGCCCTTTAATGATGACAGATTAGGGCCCTATAATGATGACAGATTAGGGCCCTATAATGATGACAGATTAGGGCCCTATAATGATGACAGATTAGGGCCCTATAATGATGACAGATTAGGGCCCTTTAATGATGACAGATTAGGGCCCTATAATGATGACAGATTAGGGCCCTTTAATGATGACAGATTAGGGCCCTATAATGATGTCAGATTAGGGCCCTATAATGATGACAGATTAGGGCCCTTTAATGATGACAGATTAGGGCCCTTTAATGATGACAGATTAGGGCCCTTTAATGATGACTGGACATGGAAATCTTACACATTGCTACTTTAAGTCCTAAAAACGAACTTGTGTTTTGTGCAGGTCCCAAAGCAAACATGTCGGAGCGTAAAGCTGCCATGTCGGCCGGAGAGAAGTTCATCCTGGACAAAGGCTACTCCAACAAGACGCAGGTGACCGGAACTGTGTACATGCGTCTTTCTACTTTAACATAAGCATTAGAAAAACTAGAAAAACACGTATTATACCACATTTATGGACATTTATCAACATTTATGGACATTGGTCTCTGCCCCTTATGGACCAATGGCTCTATGTTTTTTTTATGAGTGTGTTTCTTGTGTGAAATGCCATTATTCTCGGATCTGTTGTTGGCGAATTGACAGCTTTGTAAAGTCCTCCGAGATAAATGCTGTTGTGATTTAGGGCTGTACAAAAATGAATTTAATTGAACCACATCCAAGATAAATGCACACTGCAAAAAATTCTAAAAATATGAGGTGATGATTTCTTGAATTGAGTGGTTTTTGTCTTAATTTCAATACATTCTGACTTTAGTTTCTCCTTCTAAGAGAGACATTTCTTGTATATTTTAAAAAATTAAGACATATTTAAGACATATTTCTCATCACTTTTTGCAGTGCAGGGAATAGATAGAGACAGATACGATCAATATTTTTCTTTTCACTAAACCCCGACAGATCCAAGTCCTTCCCGCTGGATCCGAGACCACGCTGTTCAAACAGTTCTTCTGCGACTGGAGGGACAAGGACGAGACCACGGGCCCGTCCCAGGCCTACACCATCGGCAGCATCGCCAAGATCAAGCAGGTTCCCTTCGACGCCTCCTCCCTTCACTCCAACAAGGCCATGGCGGCGCAGCACGGGATGGTGGACGACGGCCAGGGCAAGGTCCAGGTGAGGCCCCGGTCTGGACCCATGCTTTTAATCCTTCATCTTGGGTTCTATTCCACCTCCAGAGAGTTCTGTGTGGAGTTTGCCTGTCACTCCCAGTGGCTGTGTAGGGTTTCCTCCAGGTGCTGCAGTAAAAACATGTAGGTTCTGTTTGCTGTGTGGAGTGTTGGAGTAAAGTGCTCTGTGACTGTGGTCTGTGAAAATGGCACTGTATAACTTATTTTCACAAGTTTAATTAACTTTCTGAAAGGGGAGAAAACAAACAAAAACAGACAAAACAAAACATGCTTATTTTATTTTATTTTACCATCGTATTATCTTATTATTTCAATTGTATTCCATTACATGCCCTGGATGTCCACTAGGGGGCATCACGATCTGTTTGAGACGTTGCTGTTGAAAGGTGTTATAACTTTCTGTGGTTTGCAGATCTTCCGAGTGGAGGGCGGAGCCAGCGTCCCGGCCGACCCCGCCTCCTACGGCCACTTCTACGGCGGCGACTGTTACCTGATCCTCTACAGCTACGGCCGCAACCAGCACATCATCTACACCTGGTACAGAGCGCACCAGCATCCACCAGGAAACACACAAAGCACCAGGAGTCACTTTCAAACTCTCAACAACAGTGTTTTAATATCAGCTCAGAGAATAGTCCCAGAAATCTCTACAACACAGTTATTTTCTTTTCTTTTTTTTTTTAACTTACATTTTATTGAGTTTATTTATATAACAACAACAAAATACAACAGAAAATAGATAGAACAGAACATGGGGTCATTTGTCATTCACATAAACAGTGTATATCCCCCACTTTTTCCATCTTCCAGTTGTTTAGTGTGGAGGGGGGTCTTTTTTGTGTCATTGCTTTTTTTGAGGCTGCCAGAAAAAAATTTGGACAAATAATAATTTTCTTTTTTAATGTCTCTTCCTGTTACACGCTCCAGATAATCGCTCTTTTAGGAAATACACTGCAAAAAATGATAAAATATCATTTATTATTATATATATAATGAATGCTTGAATTTAGTGTTTTTTGTCTTAATCTGACACATTCTGACGGTGTTATAAAGATTCTCCAACGGGACAAAGCCATTTAGTCTCATTTCAGGAACTGTTTCTTACATTTCTTGCATATCTTGAAAAAAAGATCATTTTGCTTTGTCCCATTGGTGAATCTTGTTTTAAGGCAGAGTCTGAATGTGCTCAAATTAAGACAAAAACCACGTGATTCAAGCAATTATTACCTCATATTTTTATCATTTTTTGCAGTGTGTTTCCTAAAACAGCGACATTTAGCCATTTTTTTGACATATTTCCCATCACTTTTAGCAGTATGTTCCCTGCTCTGAAAGGATCTCTCTCTGGTCTCTCTTTGGTCTCTGTGGTCTCTCTCTCTGGTCTCTCTTTTGTCTCTGTGGTCTCTCTATCTGGTCTCTCTATCTGGTCTCTCTATCTGGTCTCTGGTCTCTCTTTGGTCTCTGTGGTCTCTCTTTCTCTCTCTCTCTCTCTCTCTCTATAGTCTCTCTCTCTGGTCTCTCTCTCTCTGGTCTCTCTCTCTCTGGTCTCTCTTTGGTCTCTCTCTCTCTCTCTCTGGTCTCTCTTTGGTCTCTGTGATCTCTCTTTCTGGTCTCTCTCTCTGGTCTCTCTTTGGTCTCTGTGATCTCTCTCTCTGGTCTCTCTTTGGTCTCTCTCTCTCTCTCTCTCTGGTCTCTGTGATCTCTCTTTCTGGTCTCTCTCTCTGGTCTCTTTTTGGTCTCTGTGGTCTCTCTCTCTGGTCTCTCTTTGGTCTCTCTCTCTCTCTCGTCTCTTTCTGGTCTCTCTTTGGTCTCTCTCTCTCTCTCTCTCTCTGGTCTCTGTGATCTCTCTTTCTGGTCTCTCTCTCTGGTCTCTTTTTGGTCTCTGTGGTCTCTCTCTCTGGTCTCTCTTTGGTCTCTCTCTCTCTCTCGTCTCTTTCTGGTCTCTCTCGTCTCTCTTTGGTCTCTCTCTCTCTCTTTCTCTCTCTCTCTCGTCTCTCTCTGGTCTCTCTCTCTCTCTGATCTGTGTCAAGGCACTTTCTATACAATATAGTTTTGACATTTTCATAATTTCATGTTTTTTGTTTTGCTGAGGTCAAACAGGACGTGCTCCGCCCTTTTCATATCCTGTCTTTTCCAATAGAAATGTGATGACATGTGAATAATGCAGTAGATGTAAAGCAGGTGTTGTGCTCAGGCAGGGGCTGAAGTGCACGCAGGACGAGCTGGCGGCCTCAGCTTTCCTCACCGTGAAGATGGACGACTCCATGGGCGGAGCTCCGGTGCAGGTCTGTGCTCGTATCCCATTTATTTGTGTATCGCCCAAAATCTCAACAGAAGTTTTCAGAGGACTTTACGAAGCTGTCAATTCACCAACACAGATCAGAGAATCAAACATCTCAAACACAAGAAATGCAATGATTAAAAACACATAAGGGCAGATTATCTTGTTCGTTAAAGTTGGAGATTTTAGCTTTTTGTGTCATTAATACAGAAATAATTTTGTGAATGAAATAGGCCACAACATGCTGTGTTTTTACATACTGAGAGCTGATTGGCTGAGAGAGGGTGGTCCTCTCTTTTACACTTTTCTGGCCAAAATACATGCATTTGAACATGGGTGACTGTTTGATTCTCTGATCTGTTTTTAACGTAGTGATTGGTTTTGGTTTCAAATCTGTAATGTGAAGATCAGTTAGACCCGCCTCCACAAGTTCCTGATTGGACACCGTGAATTCAAAACAAGAGTGGTACCTCTAAATTATAGTTAAATGTCAGTGAAATGACATTCTTTACAAAGGTGTGGGTTTATTTTCAGCCGGTGAATTAATCAAGAAAATCACCAGAAGGGAGTCCCATGCTGAGATTTTTCTCTAGTGTACATAATTATTATTCACGTATTTTCTATTTGAGAGATTATTAGAAATTCAATATAATTAATACAATACATCAATACAAAACATTAAATACCAAGTCTCACAATCCTGTAAAGTAATGTTTAAAGTAAAGCCTCAGGATGCAAAAAAATCTCTCCAAATTATATTTCTCTTGATGGAGGATGCATTCCTCAGTTTCTCAGTTCTGAGTGTGACCAGTGTGGTCACACTTTTTCAGTCTGTTTTACTGTGTTTGTTCAATCTACTCTTTTTGCCAATGTTTTGTACATGTATTGTCTTCTTTCAAGCCACTGGTTATAAATAACTTTTGAGCACTACAACAGGCATGTACAGAGGAAGGCCCGAGGGCCAAATGTGGCCTGCTGTATCATTATATTGGCCCTCTGCCTCGCCAACACATAGTAGTCAACGTAAGCTCCACAAATGTAATCATGCTTTGTTGTAAAGCTGAGAACCTTTGGAATCAAGTTATTCACTTTATTTGTATTTACTGACTTTTGTTTGTGATTACGTCGTAACATCCCACATAGGTGCTAATGTAGCTAAATTTATAGTATACTGCATTACTTTGAAGCTACTTTTACCATAAATGCAAACTAAATGTAGCTTATGATGCTATAGCGTGAGGCTGATAGAGCTTTACAGTAGTTACAATAATTTTGTAACACATTACTCCCAACGCTGAGGTACTACAGTCCTCATTTCTCCTTGTTCAGAACCCGTGGCTTGTCTATGTGTGTGTATCTCTCAGGGAATAGTGTGTGTGTATCTCTCAGTGAATAGTGTGTATCTCTCAGTGTGTGCGTGTCTCTCAGTGAATAGTGTGTGTGTATCTCTCAGTGAATGTGTGTATCTCTCAGTGAATGTGTGTGTGTGTTTCTCAGTGAATGTGTGTGTGTGTTTCTCAGTGAATGTGTGTGTGTATCTCTCAGTGAATAGTGTGTATCTCTCAGTGTGTCTGTATCTCTCAGTGAATAGTGTGTATCTCTCAGTGTGTTTGTATCTCTCAGTGAATAGTGTGTGTGTTTCTCAGTGAATGTGTGTGTGTATCTCTCAGTGAATAGTGTGTATCTCTCAGTGTGTGTGTATCTCTCAGTGAATAGTGTGTGTGTTTCTCAGTGAATGTGTGTGTGTTTCTCAGTGAATGTGTGTGTGTGTTGCTGCAGGTGCGAGTGACTCAGGGCCAGGAGCCTCCTCACCTCATGAGTCTGTTCAGATCCAAACCCATGATCATCCACAGCGGCGGGACGTCCCGTAAAGGAGGCCAGAGCCAGGCGCCCACCACACGCCTCTTCCACGTCCGCCAGAGCTCATCAGGGGCCACAAGAGCTGTCGAGGTGCGCACACTGCTACACAACTGCTACACAACTGCTACACAACGGCTATACATCTGCTACCCGACTGCTACACAACTGCTATACTAGTGCTACACAATTGCTACACAATTGCTTCACGACTGATACACAACTGCCACACAACTGCTACACGTCTGCCAAACAAATGCTACACAACTGCTACACGTCTGCCACACAACTGCCACACAACTGCTACACATCTGCTACACATCTGCTACACAACTGCTGCACAACTGCTACACATCTGCTACACATCTTCTACACAACTGCCACACATCTGCTACACATCTGCTACACGTCTGCTACACAACTGCCACACATCTGCTACACAACTGCCACACATCTGCTACACATCTGCTACACAACTGCTACACAACTGCTACACAACTTCTACATGTCTGCCACACAACTGCCACACATCTGCTACACAACTGCTACACAACTGCTACACGTCTGCTACACAACTGCTACACATCTGCTACACATCTGCTACACAACTGCTACACAACTGCTACACAACTGCTACACAACTGCTACACGTCTGCCACACAACTGCCACACATCTGCTACACATCTGCTACACATCTGCCACACATCTGCTACACATCTGCTACACAACTGCTACACAACTGCTACACATCTGCTACACATCTGCTACACAACTGCTACACGGCTGCTACACAATTGCTACACAACTGCTACACAATTGCTGCAGTTCCCAAACAGGGTGGGGAAGGTCAAATGTCATTGTTGTCGAGGTAAATCAGACTGGCCTGTTCTTCTGTTACACTTATTTCAGGAGGAATGGGCCAGAATTCCAGCACTCAATTAGAAAGAACTTTTGGAATAATACCTGGAACACTTCAAATCAAATCCAATATGTTTATACTGTGCTTTTCATACTTTAACAATACAATACCAACAAAAAGTCAAATATTGAAATGAGTAAAAGGACAATAGCTCAAAAAATAATTAAAACAATAACAAACATACAATTTGACCGACAGTTTAAAAGGGACCTATTCTCATGTTGTTAGTGTATTGTGGGGTTTTTTTGTGTGTTAAATAAAACACATTTTGACAGATAGTTTTATCCTTTGCGGTTTCTATCAATAATTATCACGCAATACATTTTTTTATTGTGGCCTTTCTGAAATAGAAGTGAATTTGAACATAATCTGTGCAATAACTTATGAGACAGTGAGAGGTGTTGTGTTGCTCAGTGTGTGTTGTGCGTTTGTGTTGTGTGTCAGTGCTCATTGTGTTGTGTTGTGTGTCTCCAGGTTCAGGTCTCTGCCTCCAGCCTCAACACCAACGACGTGTTTGTGCTGAAGAGTGCGTCTGGAGTGTTTGTGTGGAGAGGGGCCGGGGCCAGTGAGGAGGAGATGTCTGCGTCCAAACATGTGGTGTCTTTCCTGGGAGGGAGTCCGGCTTCTGTGAGCGAGGCCCGGGAGCCAGGTCTGTGTATCTACTGTATCTACTGTATCTACTGTATCTACTGTATCTACTGTACCTCTGGACTATTCTTGGGTTTCATATGACGTCAGGGCAGTGGTGAATAACAAACGTAGGACAGGACGTGACGTATCCCGGCGCTGCAGTCTGCCGGGTTTATACAGTGAGATTTAGTAGAAGAAGAAGTGGTTTATACACGGAGATATAGTAGAAGAAGAAGTGGTTTATACACGGAGATATAGTAGAAGAAGAAGTGGTTTATACACGGAGATATAGTAGAAGAAGAAGTGGTTTATACACGGAGATATAGTAGAAGAAGAAGTGGTTTATACACGGAGATATAGTAGAAGAAGAAGTGGTTTATACACGGAGATATAGTAGAAGAAGAAGTGGTTTATACACGGAGATATAGTAGAAGAAGTGGTTTATACATGGAGATATAGTAGAAGAAGAAGTGGTTTATACACGGAGATATAGTAGAAGAAGAAACGCTGTCAAAATGCCATCTTTTTGTGCGGTGTACGTTTGTAGCAACCGCACAAATAGAGAGAAAGACAAGAGTTTGTTCATGTTCCAACTGTGGTCTCATATAAAGGAGGACACTTTGGAAAAATCACTGGAATGAGGCGGGCGAGGTGGATCAAGGCTTTCCCAGATAAGCGCCCCCTGCAGGCCACCCCGATGAAACGCAGACATTTCTTCTGTTTTTCTTTCCAAAAATGCCTGAAATCAAGACTCTTTTGAGAAATATTTGTTAGTACTTCCTTAGAATTGAGTGTCCCCGATTAAGACTGTTCCAACAACCGTACACCGCACAGGAGGAGAGCCTTTGACTCCAAAACAGACTTTACATGGTTTTCAATGGGAGCAAAACTGTCCCACCTCTGCTCATGCGCCCCCTACTGGCCAGTTTACTGAAACACAAGTAAAGCCACTTTACTTGTGGCTCAGCCACCGTGCCCGGCCACCGGGCGGCACGGTGGCTGAGTGGATAGCACTCTCGCCTCTCAGCAAGAAGGTCCTGGGTTCGAATCCCGGCCGGACCAGGGCCTTTCTGAGTGGAGTTTGCATGTTCTCCCCGTGTCTGCGTAGGTTTCCTCCGGGTACTCCGGTTTCCCCTACCACTAAAAATATGTCCAATAGTTCTGGCATGCGCTTCCTGTACTGGCCCCGCTCCCATCTCTGTGTGGAGTGAGAGACAAATGCCCAAAATTAACAATTGTAAACCGCTTTGAGACTCAGATCTGCAGTGAAAAGGCGGTATATAAATAATAACTTACTTACTTACTTACTTACAAGAATAAGGCGCACCTCTATATAAGCCGCGCTAGCAACATTTGAAGAGAAAGTCAATTTTGTTCTCATATAGGTCGCACCTGAATATAAGCCGCAGGTTTTGATGTTGTAATGTAACAGAGAGACGATGTTTTAACTGGACATGATGATGAACATGATTTAACGACAAGGTTTTTAGCTTCACCGTTGCTTCCATGATTCATTCATCGTTAGCTTCCAGGACTCATTCACTTTCATCTATCTTGACAAAAAACCGTGTCAAAATAATAAGTCCATAAGAGCCGCAGGGGTCAAAGAACTAGAAAAAAGTAACAGTTTATAGTCCAGACATTACTGTACTTAGTAAACAAAAACAAAAACATATTTAACCAGTGTCTAAATCTGTTTGGAGATTTTCAAACATGAATCTTTGTCCCTGCACTGCTACATGTCTGCTGTGTGTTTGTATAGAGCAGTTATTTTAAGACATTTTATGAAGATTTGTCTATGCAAGCCTTATTTCTATTTTTACTTTTATATCTTGATTGCACAAATTCCTAGTTTGTGACTTCCTGTTACTTACAACGACAATAAAGATAATTCTGATTCACCAGAGCACAGCGGAAACTTTCCCAATGTCAATTTTTAGTGCAAAAAAAAAGAACATTATTTAATTTTAGAGCCTGGATCACTTCATATGTGGTGTGCTAACTGCTAAAAAGTTGCTTTTAAATAACAATATTACGGCATTTAGATTAGATTATAGCATAAGATTACACTGCAAAAAGTGAAAATATTGACTTGTGTAATTGATTTCAGTGTTTTTATCTAATCACATCGTTTCTTGGACTTTTTTACTCATGCAGGCTGAAAATAGTTAAGACAATATTACTAGTTCTTATTAGGGCTGTCAAAATTATCGCGTTAACGCACGTTAATTAATTTTTTTTCACGTTAAAAAAAATTAACGCATTTGACGCATGCCCATGCGTCCCATAATAACACTCAGAATGCCGTGGACACATGCGTGTGTAAGATGGGGACAGAGCAGGTAGAGCCTCTGGGAATTCAAGTGGAAAGCACTCTCGCCTCTCAGCAAGAAGGTCCTGGGTTCGAATCCCGGTTGGACCAGGGCCTTTCTGAGTGGAGTTTGCATGTTCTCCCCGTGTCTGCGTAGGTTTCCTCCGGGTGCTCCGGTTTCCCCTACCACTAAAAATATGTACAATAGGTCTGGCATGTGCTTCCTGTACTGGCACCCCCACACAAAAAATCACAATTGTAAACCGCTTTGAGACTCCGATGTGCAGTGAAAAGGCGGTATATAAATAAAGATTACTTACTTACTTGACAGCCCTAGTTATTATTAATATTTTTCTTCTAGTGGAAGTGGGAACTTTCTTGATCCACTGGCAGATCATTTTGCTGGAAACAAGTACATTTCCTCTAAAAGTGGCACATTTTTAAAAAATATTTTACATTCAAAATACATTAAATAACAAGGTAATAACCATTATAATTTTGAATGGCCTAAAATAAACATTTCTTTATCCACACTTACTTCTGACTAAACCAGTCAATACCCAATAATAAACCAGTCTCTTTGGATCCACAGCTGAATTCTGGTCGGCTCTGGGCGGAAAGAAAGAATACCAGACGTCCAAGGCTCTGCGCAACGTGATCAAACCTCCGCGACTGTTCGGCTGCTCCAACAAAACCGGGCGCCTCGCTGTGAGTCAAAATCATCTGCTTTGGGCTCCTCTGATGCTTGATATAAATACTGACGGTACTTTCTGCAGGTGGAGGAGGTTCCGGGGGATTTCACACAGTCCGACTTGGCCACAGACGACGTGATGCTGCTGGACACGTGGGATCAGGTACACAACATGTTTTAATAACACTGTATTGTTATGGACATGAGAGAAGTAATGGAAAAGGTCCTGCTCCACCCACACCCGCTGCAGAGACCACATCACCCCTGTCCTCAAGCGACTCCACTGGCTCCCTGTCCCAAACTGCATCCAATCCAAGGTTCTCCTCCTTCTCACCGACAAGTCCCACCATAACCTGCTCCTTCTTACCTCACTGACCTCCTCCATCATCACTGTCCCAACCTCCGCCTCAGATCCACAGGCACCAAGGACCAAGCCCTCTGAACCCTGAGGACCGAGCCATCTGAACCCTGAGGACCGAGCCTTCTGAACCCTGAGGACCGAGCCTTCTGAACCCTGAGGACCGAGCCTTCTGAACCCTGAGGACCGAGCCTTCTGAACCCTGAGGACCGAGCCTTCTGAACCCTGAGGACCGAGCCTTCTGAACCCTGAGGACCGAGCCTTCTGAACCCTAAAGACCGAGCCTTCTGAACCCTGAGGACCGAGCTTTCTGAACCCTGAGGACCCAGCCTTCTGAACCCTGAGGACCGAGCCTTCTGAACCCTGAGGACCGAGCCTTCTGAACCCTAAAGACCGAGCCTTCTGAACCCTAAAGACCGAGCCTTCTGAACCCTAAAGATTGAGCCTTCTGAACCCTTAAGGACCGAGACTTCTGAACCCTGAGGACTGAGTCTGAACATTGAGGACCGAATCTGTCACAGCTGTCCCCACTCTCTGAAACTCACTCCCAGAACCAAACCCAAACCCAAACCCCTTTAAATCACTTCTCAAAACCCACCTGTTTCAGCCTTTCCTTAATTTGGTTCTTCAATGTTTATTTTGATGTGTTTTATAAGCGCTTTATAAGTTTGATGTATTATTATTATTATTATTATAATTATAAAATATAGTAAGGACTTTATCTCTTGTGACTCTTTCAGATCTTCCTGTGGGTGGGAAAAGAGGCCAATGACACAGAGAGGAATGGAGCCCCCAAAATAGGTCGGTATCAGAGAAAAGTACAGCTTTAGAGAGATTGATTTTATGCACTGCAAAAAATGATAAAATATGATGTAATAATTTCTTGAACTGAGTCGTTTTTGTTTTGTTTTTGTGTTTTTGAGTAAATTTGCGTACAGAAAGAAAATCCTGGTTTTATTTCACGTTTTGTCATTAATGATTTAAGAATCATGACGAGACCTTTTTTAGTTCTGCGCCACATGGTACTTTACCAGTGAGATTAGCTCAATGCGGTGAGTTCTGGCGCCCGGATCACAGACTTTCTGATTGGTAAAACAGTGGAGGGAGGGACATCGAAATGAAAACAATAACAAGATTTAGAGGCTGGAAAAATAATTTAGAAATGCAAATATCTCTGAACTAATGTTATCAGTTAAAGAAGTATTGGAAAAGAACATGGTTTATTAATGCTTTGGACAGATTAGGGCCCTTTAATGATGACAGATTAGGGCCCTTTAATGATGACGACATGAAAATCTTACATATGACTTTAAAGATGAACCTCAACCAACTAAGAAAAACCACTTTTATGCTTTCATCTCTGGACCGTGTCACAAAATACTGTCTACTGTATGTTGCTAATATAACCAATGAGAACAAAACATTTGTGATTCAGCTGTTTACACAAATGCATAATAATTGTCCGTTAAGTCTCAACCCAAAGTCATATATCGTGTTTCTTGAATATCAGGACTGTCCTTTTCTCCGCAGCTAAAGACTACGTGGACTCGGACCCGTCTGGCCGGAGGGGGACCCCCATCACCACCATCAAGCAGGGAGCAGAGCCTCCCATCTTCACGGGCTGGTTCCAGGCCTGGGACTCTGCCATGTGGGAGACCGACCCCCTGGACCGGATCAGGGCTCGCTTCTGAACGACCCCCCCCTTCCTCCTCTCTCTCCTCCCTGTACCGCCATGCTGTTTCTCAAGCTGAGGTCCCAAGTGCCAAACCCTCTTTCACTGCTGCAATTGTCAACAAATGTTGCGCTCCGTTTTCTACCGTTTTTTTGTGTGTTTTTATATTTGTCCTGTTTACTCACAGACTGAAGAGTTAAAGGGAACGAGCTCCAGATGTAGTTTGGTTTGGTCTATTTGAATTTTACAGGGATAGTGTACAATAAACATAAGCCAGGACTAAAAATGCAGTGTACCCGGTTGTAGCAGCAGTGCTAATCTACCACTGCAGTGCTAATCTACAGCTGCAGTGCTAATCTACAGCTGCAGTGCTAATCTATCGCTGCAGTGCTAATCTACAGCTGCAGTGCTAATCTATCGCTGCAGTGCTAATCTACCGCTGCAGTGCTAATCTACCGCTGCAGTGTTAATCTACAGCTGCAGTGCTAATCTGCAGCTGCAGTGCTAATCTACAGCTGCAGTGCTAATCTACCGCTGCAGTGTTAATCTACAGCTGCAGTGCTAATCTACAGCTGCAGTGCTAATCTACCGCTGCAGTGCTAATCTACAGCTGCAGTGCTAATCTACCACTGCAGTGCTAATCTACAGCTGCAGGGCTAATCTACCGCTGCAGTCCCTAAGCAGGTTGATTTAAAACAGTAAAATGAAAGGAGATGGACACATGACCTGCATTTATCAATCCGAAATTAAAACTTATTTTTTTAACAATAAGGCCAAATAAATAATAAAATATTGCCATTTTTTTTACTTTTCTGTGAGTGGGATTGCTCCTCCATAAACATGACTCTTGTTTACTTTCAGTATCTTTGGGATTGTTCTACATTTGGCACTTTCAAATCTTCATACACTGCAAAAAGTGTTGAAAAATAAGTCAAAAATGGCTCAACTTTGGCTAAATACAGTATATCTTAATTTGAGCCCATTTTCACTCAACACCACTTCATTGGACTTTTTTATGTCTGGAATACTTTGAAATCCTTTAACAATAATAGAAAACAATCAGGCCAAATGAAAAAAGAACATTGTAATTTTCTTTGTGGTACTACCTCTCCATAAACCTGACTCGTCCACCTCATAACTTCAGAGATCGTTCTACATCTAGCACTTACAAATTTACCTCCAGAATGTTCCAAAGTTTGGCTTTTTTTTTTTTTTTACAACGCAAGAGATTCAGACTGTCGCTGTGGTCTTTGTCTGAGCTTTGTGATTGTCAGCGTCAACTAAATAAATGTACAACCATGCATTTAAAGTGGACCATAACAGTGTTTTAGACATGATTTTGAACACAATGGTAAAAGTGTGATTTTCAAAGTGTTTTCCATCTGTAACATCTCAGACTGAGGTCCACGGATCGGGCTGTGATCTCTGTGGCAGTAGAATAGATGAGATGGTTCTGACTCTGTGACGCTCTCTCTCTCTCTCTCTGGTACCGGATTCTGTGTTCGCTGCTGCTTCTGACACTTCAGATTTGACTGGATTCATGAGTCAAACTATTTCTCGACCCTCGCTTTTAAAGAAATCCAATAAAGTATTTAAACCACAGCGAGTCTTTCATTGTTATTCAATTTGTTTTTGCGTCGTCCTAAAAAGGAGTTTACAAGTCACAGAGAACACACATATAAAATGATTGAATAGGTTCTCTCTCTTGTCTCTCTCTGGTCTCTCTCTCTGGTCTCTCTCTGGGCTCTCTCTGGTCTCTCTCTGGTCTCTCTCTCTGGTCTCTCTCTGGTCTCTCTCTGGTCTCTCTCTCTGGTCTCTCTCTCTGGTCTCTGTCTGGTCTCTCTCCGGTCTCTCTCTGGTCTCTCTCTCTGGTCTCTCTCTGGTCTCTATCTCTGGTCTCTCTCTCGTCTCTCTCTCTGGTCTCTCTCTGGTCTCTCTCTCTGGTCTCTCTCTGGTCTCTATCTCTTGTCTCTCTCTGGTCTCTCTCTGGTCTCTCTCTCTGGTCTCTGTCTGGTCTCTCTCTCGTCTCTCTCTCTGGTCTTTATCTGGTCTTTCTCTCTGGTCTCTCTCTATGATCTCTTTCTACTCTCTCTCTATGGTCTCTCTCTGTGGTCTCTCTGGTCTCTCTCTCTGGTCTCTCTCTGGTCTCTCTCTCTGGTCTTTCCCGATGGTCAATGCTCTATCCAAACTAACAAGAACAGGACATATTTTGTTCAGAAAATAGAATCCAAACTCCTCCTTGTAAATGTAAATGTTTATTCAAACGAATGAGTAAAAAAATCTACAGCATCATTTCAAATTCTAAAGCATGAAATGACAAACTTAAAAGTATTATTATTAATTGGAATTGGAATTAGCAACAAGCAACGCATGATATGTCTTCTTTAAGATTGACATGACCAAAACCTAAACAACCTCACCTCCGACAGGATCCATTTCAAAGCACAAGGATGAGGTTATTTTGAAAGGTTTGGGACGCGGCCGGCAGTGCTACACATGGAGGACCGCAGAGTCTGTTAAACGCCTGCAGCCGGAGTGTTATGTGAACAACAGGACGACTCATAAACCAGAATAGACTGTGGTGACAATGTGCTGAGGGCTCCGGGCAGAGACACCAGGAGAGATCACATACAGCACTTTAAATACACACAGGGCTCTATTACTATTAGAACCTGCACCAGTGCCTCCAGATTCCCAGACCCTCACCCGGATCAATCACAGTCCATATACACGTGCACAAAAATTCTTAATACACACGTTAGAGTTGTTTTTTTCTTATTCTATTTTTTATAAGGTCAGAACATGAAACACATTTATACTTGCTTCTTTATTATGCTAAAGCTAGAGACAGTATTTTATATTGCTTGCATTTTGATTGTTACTTTACTGGTCTATACTCTACAATCAATAACTTATAATGTTGTTGTTCCTGTTCCAGGTTTTTGACAATGGTTTTCTCTTGTGATTTAAGACAAGATGAAAGAACCATTATTTGTGCCACAGTGAGGAAATGTCAGTTGATCAAGTCGACAGAAACCATCAAAACTGAAAACCGTGTCACTTTGGTTTCGGGGCAGGGGTAATGTGCTCCAAGAGCAGCTGCAAAGTCCTGGTCCCTGTAGCTCCGCCCCCGGGTTCAGCTGAGAGCAGAGGATACAGTGGAGATGTCAGATCAAAGAGCAGGTCTGACATCTGGTCTTTGATATGATGTCATTTGGATGTTCTCAAATGCAACATGTATTATGTATGTGCATGTGTAAGTGTGTGTGTGTATGTGTGAGTATATGTCTGTGTGTATGTGTGTGGGCATGTCTGTGTGTGTGTGTGTAAGTGTATATGCACGTATATTTGTGTGGGCATGTGTGTGTAAGTGCGTGGGTATTTGTGTGTGAGTTTACGGTTTGCGCGTGTATGTGTGCGTACAGTACATGTTTGTGTGTGTATATGTGCCTGTATGTGTGCGTATATATTTGTGTGTGTGCATGTGCATATGTGATTAAGCCTAAACACAATCAACATTCATTGACTTTAATCTATTATCATTGTCTTTGCCCCCTCTTCACACAACACGGGGCCTCCAGCATTCCTCGCCCCCCGTGGAAATCCCCTGGTGCCGCCCCTGCTCACATCTGCATTTTCCGCGTCGCTTTCGCTTCGCGTCGCTTTGAAGCCACTGCGTTCTCCACATCACGTGACTCTCTCTTTCCCCTCCTCTGTGGAACTTCCAGGAGAATCTTGGGACCGTGGATCAGTGCAGACAGAGTCCCAGCTTTACCTCAGCTCGGATGCACTGAATTCCACCCTTTATTTCCTCCCCTCCCCTGCTTTCTTCTTATTCCAACGCGTTCCGTGGACTCCCCAAAAACCGTGACCATGGCGGGAGCTATTATTGAAAACATGAGCACTAAAAAGTTGGTGATTATGGGGGTGATCCTGCTGCTGTTCCAGGCGTTTGCTTTCATGGTCGGCGGATTAATCGGTGAGAATCTTTTCAATCTTTCTTCTTTTTTTGGCTTCTTTGTTTTTGGCACTGCTGGTGTTCGCGTGCGTAAAAGTCTCCAATCCAAACTTAACCATGTGCATCTAATAACCCTGCACGTTCTGTAGTTTGCATACATTTTTTTTCTCTTACGTAGCTCTTGATTCTGAACTGATTCCAACTTGTTGAATTTGAAGGCGAAGTTGATAAAAAGCCAAATTATCTTTTTTTCTTTTATCGCGATAGCCTTCGGAGCTAACAGAGGAATCAGTGCGCAGTGGTGCAGACATGGACGCGATGCTTCAAAGGGTTCTCAATAAGCTGCTTTTGTCTCTCTGCAGACTGGGCTGGCCTTGTTATGCTTACTAGTCTCATCTTAAAGGCGACATATGATCCCACGCAACTGTGGCGTGTTTTACTGCGGGTTTTAACCGTGTTTTTGTCTCATTTGTAAAGTTTTTGTAAAGTGTGTAGAATCTCTGCTGTTTGAGTTGTGTTGCGCTGCATTCCAGACCACAGTGCTCTGAGTGTAGGTCTGTTTCACTTACCACCTAGCCCCGCCCCTTTCTCGTGTGAACCCAAAAATAGTTAAAGGTGTTTAGGAGGATTTTCTACTTCCGGGTGGATCATCAAGACTATTGGTACCTCCCCTTTGTCAATCATTCTGGTGATACGTGCTCGTCAAAAAGTGGAGCGAGCGCGTTCTTTCCTAAAATTTGGAGAAATCCTCCTATGTACCTTTTTTAAGATTAAGAGATGTTTTATTTGTCCCATAGCGGGGAAATTTCAGTGTTGCATCAGCAGTTAATGAACAGAAGCACACAGCAGTACAAAATCTCTTTTCTCTAACTTTAGCATAATGAAGAAGCAAGAATTAAGTATAAAATCTTTGACTTGAACAAAAAGAAGTATAAAGTCTGGCACTATAGTAATATCCTGTCTATATTAGTGCGATAAATGTACAGTGTGTTTACATCTGTACATGTTTTTTGTTTATTCATTTCAGGCATTTCACATTGGGCGTAAGTCACCTCTTGCTCATCACAGTTTCCAACAAAAAAATAAATGAAGTATAGCTAACGAATTACATTTCGTACTAAGGTCTGGATTTGCTCCATTGACTCCGTGAACAGGTGGGAGGGGTTAACTTCTTTTGCAGATTGAAACGATTGGATCTGAGTTTACCGTGATGTATGTAACGTGCCCGAGTGAGTCGTTAGCATTTAGCCTAGCTTTAGCCATCTCCTTTGCCGCTAACGGAGCCCGTGGGGAGTAGCGCCACAATCTTTGCAGCGATTACATTTGCTAAACATTCCTCTTGCTCCGGCTTCAGTTTCTTGATAGAACCAGACGGGATTACTTTACTATCGCATTCTTCGCCAGACAACAACCTTCCCGTTCGGCGCAAACTCTTGACGTCACCCACATCTAACTACAACACCCGCCTCCCGCGCTCTCTGATTGGTCGGATGGAATTCAACCGAGTGTAATCACAAACACAGGGACCAGACCCAGACGTTACATGCACGGATGGATAAGGCCAGGTTAGCTAACATGCATAAGAAGGTAAAAAAATAGAATAGTTGCCTGGAAGTGAGTAGGAAGAAGAAAACGTATTTATTCCCGCCCGCATGTTGACCGGCTCTGGGACAAAGTTAAGATTGGGTTCGAGGTTTAGTAAGAACTTGTTTTTTTCCATATAAAACATGGTGAATATGGCGTGGTGAGTCTGGAGCTGCGGTGAAGAAGGTTGACTGCAGGTATTCCCAAACTTGATTGGGACGGAACACTTTTTTAGAAATTCCCTGATAGGAAAAAGGCATCGGATTTTTTTATACCGTCATTAGAAATATTCTTGGATCAGGTCTCGGAGTGATGATATTTCAGTTCAGTTGATTCTTGAGTAGACTTTTTTTATTATTTACTTTGTTATTATTATTATTATTATTATAGTTATCATTAATATTAGTGGTGGAATGAGAATAGTATGTATAATTAATAACAATTTTCATAATTCATGGAAAGTTGATATTATCTAGTTTGAGCTATTTGTATTTTTGGTGGTAATTAGGCCGTCTAATCTAATTTGTAAATGTCTCTATATAAGAATGGGGCAGGAGTTTATAAGATTTTTTCTTTTCTTCATCCGACTGCTACTGTATTTGCTGGATTATTGTCATATTTTGTTGCGTTACCATAAAAAAGAGAACAAAAAAATAAATAAATTAAATGTTATTTCTGACATTAGTCCAGAATGAAATTTTTTTTGGACTTCTTTTACAGTAGTTTTGTTAATATTTACACTATCAACAGTTTAAAACACAATTGGAGACATCGCTAAGTCTCACAATATTATATTATTATTATATTTATTATTATATTTTTATGTGGAATACTTTGCAAGCTACGGTGACATTACAATTTCACTTATGGGTCAAAAAAATCTGTCCAAGTGACACATGTGGGTCTATATATAATTTACATGTCACATTTGGCATAGACTGTGCAAACATTTCAAAGCATTGCACAGATAGAACTAAGGCAAGGCAAGGCAAGTTTATTTATATAGCACAATTCATACACAAGGCAATTCAAAGTGCTGAACAAAACAAGAAAGCATTAAAATCATAAATAATCACAGAACATTAAAAAGATAAAAATATATAATCCCTCAGTTGTATGCACAGCTAAACAGAACTGTCTTTAACCTGTTTTTTTTTTTTTTTTATAATTAAAATTTTTATTGACTCGATCAGCAGTTCTTACATTAACAATCTACACGATGTTACATACATGGTACATTAGAATTAGTACATTTGTTAACACTTTTTTTTTTTTTTTTTAGATAATAGAACAAAAACAAAAGAACAATTGAGTAGCAAAGGGATATCACACGTGTCCTTAAGTGTTGGTATAATGTGTCCAGCATTTCCAATAGTCCTCAAATCTGTCGTGATCCAGTCTTAGTCATTCTCTCCATATGAAAAATGTCTTTAACAAGTGATATCCAGTCCCCCAACACAGGTGTTCTGTCTGTCATCCATTTCTTTGTGATAGCTTTTTTGCTTGCTGTCAGTAAAACATTCCACATATATTTTTTACTCGCCCCTTTTATACAGTCTGGTTGTATCCCCAAAAACATAGTTTCAAAATTCAAAGGAACATTAATGCCAAAAACTGTGTCAATGCCCTGTTTAATAGCCATCCAGTAATTGGTTATTTTTGAACAACTCCAGAATATGTGGTGATGGCCAACCCGTTTGGTTCCACATAACCTCCAACATGAAGTATCAGCACTTGGGCCTCTCTGGACTGGAGTTTTAAAAAAACGTACCATACATTTCCATGAAAACTCTCTCCATACAGGGGATGATGTGCTTTTCCATACATTAACAGGGATTTTAGCCCAATTTTCCATTTGTATGGAGAGATTACCCTCTTTCTCCCATTTTTCTTTAATATACAGTATATTTTCATTCTGCAAGTTTTGCAGCTCATCATATAGTTTAGAAATCAACTTATTGTTTGGTCCTTGCTGATATGCTTTTATAAATATTGTTATTAATCCCGACAGATGCTTTGTATGGTCACTATAATTGTGGTTCAAGTAGTGGCGGATCTGGAGGTATCGGAAAAAGTCTTTGTTGTCAAGATTGTAGGTCCTTTTCAAATCTTGATAGCTCCTCATTTGATCTTTATGATAAAACTGATTGTAAGTTATTAAACCTTTGTCAGACCAATTTTTAAATGTTTTATCTCCTACATTTGGGGTAAAATCCTTGTCATACGCAATCCATTTGATCATAAGGCTGCATTTTGGATTGTCCTTTATTATTTTTGACCAGATATCAAGAGCTGCCTTGGTCCATGGGTTAAGATCCCTTACATTACTCATTAAATTTGTGTTGCCAATCATTGCCGGTACGGGGATTACTTCAGATCTATATTCAATTTCTTTCCATTTTGCTGTATATGATGAGCTGCAAATATCAAACAGTGGGCTTAGTTGAGCCGCTCTGTAATAATTCTTCAGATTTGGAAGAGAGAGTCCACCCTTGTTTCTTGCCATTTGTAGAGTTTTGTATCTTATTCTAGGTTTTTTCCCTTCCCAGATAAACCTTGAAAATAATTTATCCAGTTCCTGGAACATTGTTGTTGAAGAGTCAACAGGTATTGTTTGAAATAGGTATAATAGTTTAGGCAAGATTACCATCTTAATTGCTTCTACTCTATGTAAAAGTCCTAGATAGGAGATCAGGCTCCATCTATCCAAATCAGTTTTAATTTTAGCAATAAGTGGATCGTAGTTTATTGACTTTAAAGTTTGTATGTCCTTTGGAATATGTACTCCCAAGTATGTTATTGAGTCCATGCACCAATTGATTTTAAATATTTTCTTTATGGGATCTTCTGGGTTGTAGTTGAATGTCAATACTTGTGATTTATGAGAATTTAATCTATAGCCTGAGATGTTGCTGAATTCCATTAACACTTTATGCAGTTGAGGAAGAGATTCAGTGGGTTTAGCCAAGTAAACTAGGACATCATCAGCAAACAAGGCAATCTTCTGTTCCTTCTCGTTTACTTTAATGCCTTTTATCTTTCTATTTTGTCTGATATATTGTGCCAGGGGCTCAATAAAAATGGCAAATAAAATCGGAGATAAATGACAGCCCTGTCTACAACCTTGTTCAATATTTAGAGGATTTGATAGACCTCCATTTATTCTAATTTTCCCTATAGGTTTGTTATATAATCCTTGTATTATTTTTATAAACTTTTCGGTAAAGTTAAATTTGGAAAGTACTTTATAAAGAAAAGCCCAATCTACAGTGTCAAATGCTTTTTGTGCGTCCAGGCCCAAAACAACAGCTGGTTTTTTATCTTTCTGTATTTGATGAATCACATGTAGTGTGCGTCTTTTATTATCTCTAGTTTTCCTCTCCTTGATAAAGCCTGTCTGGTCCAAATTTATTATGTCCGGGAGAATATTTTCCAGT